CATCATTGGGTCAAGAGAGGTGTAGCTATGCTTTGTTAACTATCAGACTGATTGAATAAACTCATTTAATTAGATATATATATAAATAAAATTACATATTATTTAATTTATCTAATAAATCTTATTTTTTAATCAATTTCAATTATAACAAAAATACAGTGATTACTCTCTAAAATTAAATTTAGATATATCTTACATCATAAATTAAATTGTCAGCATAATTAATGTCCTATTTAATTATTATAAATATAATCTAAAAATTTAAATTATCATGTCAGCTAATTCTTTTAAGCAAACCTAAGCTTAAATTAATACTCAACCACCACCAAAACCATTTTCTTACATACCAGATAGTCCAACTATTAAACCTGAGAAAAAAGGGGAATAAGAATTTATAAAATTAAGCTTAAACAAATAAAGTAGTACTCAATCAGATGTAGAAAATATTGCTAATTCTTATTTAACCACTAATGAAAAAAATAATCTCTCATTTGCTCTACAAAAAAAATTTCCAATGGTTTCAAATTTTACTATTAATCATAATGTTGAAAAGTATGAATATGAAAAACCAATCAAAATTTAATAACCATCTAAGATTTATTGTAAATTTTGCAATACTAGGAAACCAACTTAGATTTTACTAAAAAATGGATTAAATACGTACATCCTTGCATGTATTTTATTCTTTTTATTTCTCCCTTTATTTTGGGTTCCTCTGATATCCAATAAATGTAAAGATTAAGTAGAAATCTGTGTTGTTTGTAATCGTTACGCAAACTTTATTCCATTTAGATTATTGTGAATATAGATTATAGTATTATTGATTATTCTAAAACATAAATTACTAGTGAAGAAATATATAATATATATTGATTCAAATTATTCATACTTATATATATATGAATTCATTCTTTTAAAACATAAAAATATATCACAATTTAACTTTGAGATTATTGTTTTAAGATTGTCAATTATAAATGAAATTTAAATTATAATGCAATATCAATTATACAATTTAAGGTTCAGCAGAATCATTATACTTTTGTATATCTTTTGAGATAACCAAAACTATAATTTTTATAGCTTTAAATACTGTATTTATATAATTTATATTATAATTAAAAATCTTTCTTAAAAAATTTTACAATCAAAGATTATTAATTATTAAATCAATTAAAAAAATAAAATTTAATAACAAAATTTCTTATAAATGCTTAAAATTATTCTAATAATTTTATTATTATATATTATTTCATTTTAAATTGATGATATTAAATTTATACAGATGAGATAAATAATATTTTCAGTTATTTTCTTTTTAATCTATTACATTTATATAAGTAGTTCCATATAAATTTATTGTAGTAATCTAAGGATCTACAAGCCTTGATTTTTTATGAATACTCAAATTTGATAAATCTTTAGATAATTCTCTTGAATCATCTTTTGATATTGAATCTAAATTAATTTTATTTATACTTAGATTCCTATAAATTGATTGATGTTTTAAAGGTGATCTAACAGGTGAAGTTCCAAAAATACTGCTTGTAGGAGATCTTTCTCTTGGTGATAATCTCTATTTAATATGAGATATATTTGCAAATCTATGTCTATCTTCAGCTGTCTATTATGTTATGGATGACTTCTTTTTAATTTAAGAATTATTAGTAGAAGATGAAAATGAAATAGGATAAGATTGTTCTGAGTCTCCACTTGTTGTATATTATGATTAATTTTTTTATAATTTATTTGATTCTATTATAGCTTTCTATTAGGCAATGAGTAAATCTTTTTAAACTAATTCTTATTATGATTTCTCTTAATCTGATTTTAGATCTAAAATTTATTTAGAAAGATCTGCAAATCTTTATTTCCAATAATTTATAGTCGATTATTATTCTTCTGTAATTTAAAGAAGTAAAGATTTAAGTATTTATTTTTATTATAGATTTGTTTTTAGAGCAATCTACAATTATTTTTCAATTATTTGATTTTCTTTTTATGCTGCTAATAATTTCATATATGCTTCACCCTCTTAATTGATTTCTTAAGTTTCTTCAATTTTTAATGAATTTGTTTAAATTTATGATTAAATTTCCATAATTGAATTATTTATTTCAAAGTATTCTTCTACATTTGAGTAGATATCATTATAAATTTTAGTTAAATAGATAGATTTAGAAGTAGAATCCTCTAATTGTTATGATTCATTTGTAGGAGATAGATCTTCTGATTTTGGATTTTGTTGAATAGATGTGATTTCTTTCTGAACTTATCTCTTAATTTATGTAGCTCTTTAAGAATAAGTCAAAGTATTCAAAATTTCATCATATGATTACTTATTCTATTATACACAAGCTATCATAATAGTTTTAGTGTTTCCACCTAAAGAGTCTTATAAGAGTCTAGTAAGCTTGGAATTTCTGTATGGAATATGCTAATTTTTCTTTGTTTTATCTGATAACATTGTTAGACAATGACTCAAGGCCAATAAGGATTTGTTTATATTAGAGCCTTCTTATTAATTTTTTGACTTCTATTCCAAATAGACTTTCTCAGAACCTGCCAAATCTACAATATACAATTTTGGAGTTAGTATTTAACTAAAGATTATTATAACATTATTACTTGTCAATCTTATAGGATAAGTTTACCTAAATTACAGCATGTGATCTTGAAGATGAAACATTATAAATAGTTTAAGCTAGACTTCTATTTTGATTCCCAAGATTCAAAATTTCTTTCACTTCTTCACAATTCTTACAAACCATCTACTATACTCCAGATATACATTATCCTTTTTAACTATCCTACATAATTACTAATGATTTTTAATTAGTATTTAATAGATCTCTTATAGTTTCATTATATATCTCAATAAAACTCACTTCTACTAATGCATTTGGATAAGAACTAACTAAAATTTCTTAAATACCTTGTTTTTTCAACTAAATAATTTAAACATTAGAATGCAAGTCCTTCATCCTTTTCATTACCAAAAATAGTATGTGTCTTCCCAGATCCTGTTATACCATAGGCCAAAATAGTTGTGTTATAGCCTTCAAGAAAATAATTTATATTATGCTATCACTTTAGATAAACTAAAAATACTTAGAGAATCTCAGAAAAGATTTAAGCATTGTTTTCGTTATTAAATATACGATCGAAATGAAACTCTTTATTATTTCTACCCTATTTGGTAATCACAATTCTCTTTTCATCCAAGTCTTATATAAGAGTGTCTTGACTAGCAATTGTACAATTATTACCTATTATCAAACAAGGGCTTCACTCTAAGATATACTTAAAAGGGTGTATTATTAGACATTTAATTAGCAGTTAAATATTAAATTTATTTTAATACATAATATAACTAGTATTTAAAGTAGTTATATTCATGCAGAACACTGTTGCTTCTAAAACAACTCAATAACTGAGTAAGATCAATTTGTAAGTATTACCAACAATATTAAATGTTCTAAAAGTTTATTACTTATTCATTATAATATTAATTATAAAAAATTTAAATTAATCAACAATTATCAAAAATAATATCTTAAAAAATGAATTAATAAATTAAAAAACTTATATATTTCAACTTAAAACTTTTATTCAAAAAGGATTTTGCATATGCATAAAAACAATAACATATTGTGTCATGTCAATATATCTCATTCATAATTTCGTAAGTAGATTTTATTTAATAAATAATTAATTCTATGTATCAACAGTAAAGTTTCTAAGTTTAGTCTATCAATCTCATTTCTAAAAAAGAAAATAATAATTTTATGTTGGTTATCAAATCCAATATAATTAGATTTGTGATTTCTATTAAACACTATTTAAAATCTAATACATCTAATAATGTTATTGCAACCATCTATAAATTAATTTATGAATATTCTATTATAATAGACATCAATCAATAATTGAATTAATAGAGTTATCAAATTATAAGTAATTTAATTAATGAAATAAATAGAATGTAACTAATATTAATTAATATTATATCCAAAACTTAAAAATTCAAAAAAGAAACAACTATTAGATTTCTAAAAAAGGATTTATATAAACCATTTGAATAAATTGTCTTCCAAATCTCTATTTTTTTATTTATTTATTATCTTTAATTTCATCATCAATACTCATTCCTTTATGTTTATGAAGTAATCAACTCCAGTTTATTATTGTTAAAAGCCTATTTTCATCTTTTGGGTGCTAAATAAGGATTAATATTCTTTCTAAATTATTCTTCTTGAATACGATCTTTTCCAACCTTCATGGCTAAATTCAAATATATTTTATTATCAATTTTTATTGTCCCTAAGAAACAAAGGAGAAGTAATATTACCATCAACATTTTCAGAAAATAATTATTTATCTTTAATTACAAACTTTTCAGTAGAGTTTGAATATTTCGCAAGAACTTCTCCATAAATAAGAATATGGATTTATACAAAATTATTTGATTTAATAGTCGATTATTGAAATTTGAATTGTTAAAAAAGATTAAATAAATATTTTGAATAGATTTGAAGATTAAAGTATAAAAAAACTAATAAAACAAAATGTAAGTAAAATCATAAAAAATATTAAACGATTATTTTAAATTAACTACTAATAATATAGCTTATTTACTTTTTAATTTTGTAATTTTTTACTTTCATTTTGTTTTATTAGCTTGTTTTACTTTAATCTTCAAATCTATTCAAAATATTTATTTAATCTTTTTTAATAATCTGGTTGTGATTTAATCTGATAATATAATATAGGCTCTGATGATTAAAAAATTTGAGTTTCAGGGTTCTTTGATGATTAGTATTTTTTTTTTGATGTTATTAAAGTGCAAAGGGTTTTTATTTACTTCTTATATCTGAGGAACTATATTTTTTGTCTTTTATTATATTGGTTTTAGTTTAAGAATTACTTTGGATGATATCAAATACTTTGGATGATGTACATGTAGAAACTCCTGAAATTACAAATTATTATTTCATATAATGAATAATTAAAAACTGATCAACAATACATATATAATAAAAAAGAGAATTTCATCTGGTTCTTTTGGAGTTGTATATTTAGGACAAGATATTAACACTCGAAATTTTGTGGCAATAAAAGTTGATAAGGAAAAAAAAGAGGAATCTAGTCTTAAAAGAGAAGTAAAAATATAAAATTATAATTATACTAGGCAGAAATTTTGAGAAGGCTTTAGCATTTGAAACATATACCAAAATTATATTGGTCAGGAAAGGAAGGAGATTCAACCTATTTAGTGATTCAATATTTAGGAAGAGATTTAACTCATTATATAAGGACTTATAAAAAATTTTCTTTAAAGTGTGTTCTTAATATTGCAGAACAAATGATAATAATTTTAGAAAGTTTACATAAACAGTATTGGTATGTGTTTTAATTTAAAGCAATGTTATCCATAGAGATATAAAGCCTGAAAATATATTGGTTGGTAAGGAAGATGAAGAAAATCAACTTTTTATTGTAGATTTTGGGATTAGTAAATTCTATAAAGAATAAAATGAATTACATATGTATTATATCTTTGGATAAAACTTAGATCTTATAAAGAAAAGCAACCTTTTATAGGAACTACTCGATATGCAAGTAGCAATGCTCATAAAGGATTATCATTGAGTCGAAGAGACGATATGGAATCATTATGTTATATGCTAATTTATCTAATAAAAGGTATTGATAAAAAATAATTAAAGGTTAATTGCCATGGCAAAATATTTAATTTACATCAGAAGATGATAAAATAAACTAAGTAGGACAATTAAAAATGAATATAGATTCAAATGAATTATGTTAAGGATTACCAATAGAATTTACTAGATATTTAGATTATGTTAAAGGTTTACAATTTAAATCAGAACCGAACTATAAATATTGTTTATCGTTGTTCAGAAAAATTTCAAATGAACATAAATATTTATCTAGAAATCTTATTTTTGATTGGATAATCTCTTAAAAAACAGATAGAGATGGATCATAAGCAAGTAGTAATCATTTTAATAGCAAACCATCTTTGTAATTATATAAAATAAAACTCTTAGATTTAAAAAATCGAAAGAAGATCTTTTAGGATCATAATTAAATTAATCAATTGAATAGGAAATGAATCCAGTAATTAAAATGCCTGATAAAAAGAGAACCACTCTTACACCAGAGATTAATCGCAAAAAAAATAGATTATTATCTATAAGCAGTAATAATGATACTGTTTCAGATAATGATTTCAATAATAGTATAATGATTGGAATACAACCGAGTATGTTAAGTAGATTAAGCAAGATTTCTTTTAATTCAAACTCAAAGTTTTAGAATAGTAAATCTAACCATTCTATAAATGCAAATAAAAATCAGTTTGATCATCTAATCTCAATTTCTCCTGATTCAGATTTTGAAAATATTCTCAATGAATATAAACGAAAATCTCAACCAAATCAATCATTCAATTAAATACTGAAAGAAGATGATACAACTATTGAATTTTAAAAGATGAATGAAGGAGAAGAAGGAATAGAGAGAAAATATATAGAGCTTAAACTACGTTTTATAAGAGCGTATGTAAATTTTGTATACTATGTAGTCGTTTTAAACCTAGACTAAACAATAAGTTAAAATGAATCTTATGAAGTATCAAATTCTCTACTTTATAATATTCATTTATTAATATCATATTAAAATTAATAAACTACTTGAATTCTAAAAAAATATTATTTCTTGAAAGATTAATAAGAAAATTTAATTCTTTCTTTTCTTAAAAATAATTTTTTTTAATTTCATAAATTTTATTAAAAAAGAAATGGAAGTATAATCTTTTTAGATTTATTGTTAAAATAGATTATTAGAAATAAAGCCTTTAATATATACTATATATTTATCTAATATTGAATAGTATTAATAATAATAATACTAACTTCCTACATTTTATTTTTAGGAATATGAGGATAATTATTAGTCAATCTTTCATTTACAATCATATTTTTTTAATTTTTATTAACACTTAAGCAAATAGTTTAGAGATAATCACCAAAATAAAAAACTAAATTTGATTTAATGAGTAATAAGTATTATTTAATAATCTTTAGAATCATTCAATAAATAATTATTTTAATCCTAACTAATAGAATATATACCATTTACATTTTTTACTTTTAGTTTTCTTGAGGCCACTGATAACAAAAAGAATTGTAAATAGTGCAAGCTAGCCTGTTTAGCTCAGTGGTTAGAGCTTTTGCCTTGTAAGCAAAGGGTCGAGAGTTCAATTCTCTCAACAGGCTGTTATTTTTATTTTTTAATTTTTATAAATGAATAATATTTTATCATTCTAGGTATTTGATGAATTCCTTAACATCAATAGATCCATCCTCATCTCTGTCTAATGCTTTAAAGATTAGTTCAACATCATCTTTATCAAGATTTCTAATTCTCATCTTTGAGAATACTTCTGCTAATTCTGCTTTATTAATTTTCCCATTTGAATCCTTATCAAAAGTTGCAAAAAGTTGTTAAGGAGTATATTTATTTTTAACAGCTCTTGATATTCTATTGAAAACCTAATATAATATATTATTGAATACTTCTTTAGCTTTACCTATGGCTCTCTCCTATTCTATTTGACTTAAAGAACCAAAGCCTGATCTACTAGTTTAGCCAAATATATCAGATTGTTATGCACCTCTTAATTTTCCAAGATCTAAAAATTAATTGTAATTTATCATTCCATTTTCTGGTTAAACCACATATAACTAAAAGTTAAAATTTAATAAATTTACTGTTAAATCATCAATTTCATTTGGAGTGAATCCAACTTTCTATTCTCTAAGAGTTTATTTGAACTATGTCTCAGTTACATAACCAGGCTTTTGAGCTTTAGATTGAAATGCTTATTGAAGAACTCGAGCATTTTTAAAACATATTTCTTCTGCTTTTCGAGCAACCTTTTCTTTATCAATTGCTTATTAATTAAATTAATGCTCATTTTTATCTTAATCAAGTGCAGGTTTTACAATTTGTAAAAATTCTGATATACTAATATTGCCATCTCTATTTTTATCAAATTCCATAAATAACTCATTTAATTCGAAATCATCTACAGGTACCAACTAATATATAGATAAAACTAGATTACAATTTTATTTTTAAATATGCCTTTTAATTCCACTTTTGATAAATAACCATTTCCATCTTAATCAATATCATTAAATAATTCTGGAATAGTCTTCCTATTCTTTCTCATATAAGTAATAAGATAACTAATAACATAATTTTAAATATTTTATTGAGTTGGTTATACTTTAATAATCTATAATCTATTATTATACATATTTAATGTATCTGCAAATTCAGAAATGGAAATTCTTCCATCATGATTGATATCAAAAAATGCTATAATTTATCTTATATCATCATCACCATTTTGTAAATTTTTATGAACTCCAAATTATAAAAGAAACTTTTTCATTTCATTTGCTTCAATAAAACTATTTCTGTTTTCATCCATGAATTCTCTAACCTACATTAAAGTCCATTATCTTGCTTAACCATAATTAAGAATTGCTGTAATTGCTATATCAATTGGAGATTGAGATATTTAAGTATCTTATATACTTGGAAAATTAGACTATACTCTTTAATTATTGATTTATTGAAAAGAAGCTTGTGAATATACTTATTATTATTATGAAGTGGGAATCAATTTAAAGAAATTTGTAAATTCCCTAAAATTTATTAATTGATCATTATTAATATCCATATAAAATTTTAGAAAATCTCTTAATTAAGCAATTGGTATCAGTAAACTATTTTATTAGAAATATTTTTGTAATTCATCAATAGTTAATTGTCCATCAGGTTTAACAGAGTCAATTTCCATAAATAATTCTTAAATTGATTTACCATAAGACAGTTTTCTTTTCAATAAATCATAAATAGAATTATGAATCTATTCTAATTAAGTTCTTTACAATTACATAGTGTTTTATTACATTAATTAATTTATTGATGACAAATCTTATGTTTGATATTATGATTTAAATCCTGCTTCATACATAATACTCTCATTAGATTACAAACGGAAAAACTCTTAAAATTTTTATTGATTTAATGGTTATGGTAATTTAGAATAATAAACTTACATTTCTTAAGGATTCATTTTAATATTTAATACATTCTTTAAACCATTAGCAAAATCTTCAAAAGTGATAATTTAATCTTAATCTTTATCAAATACTCTAAAAGCAGTAATGCCCAATAATCCTCTAGATCTCATTTCTGAACTTATTTTATGAGTAATATTTTCTTCCCAAGATTCTGCAATCATAGATCTCTATTAATTTAATGTATCTTCATCCTTTATGTCATACCAAAAGATTTTAACATAAACTGATGCTACTTTATCTCCATCATCATTTTTGACTTCTGCTGCTAAATCAATCATTTGATTTTTAACTAAAGGAGATAAATCAATTAAACAGAATCCCACTTTATCATTTGATCCTTCTACTAAAGGTTGATTATCATCAATGATATATAATTCTAAAGGCATTCTATTAAATTAATTGACTACCATTTCATTATATACAATATCATGAACCATTCTATAATCCCATTTTGGATTAGATCCCATTTAAGTATTTGTATGAAAATCTTTAGTATCAAAATTATAATAAATGAAACAATTAGATTTAGAAGGAAGAGATGTACCTTTTTCAATACATATTACAAGTTTTCTTTTTCTTACTGCAACTATCTCTTCAGCATCATCAAATTCTTACATCTATAATTAATTTCTTTCTTTTAATAAACGTATAAAATTTGAAATTGGAAATCTCATTCTTGCTTTAAATTCAACTATTCCTATCATTTAATTATTGATTCCATGAAAAGTAAGAGATCCACTAATAACTTTACTGATAGTATCATTTTTATTCTCATAAACTAAATCTTTCAATTAAATTAATCCTGATCCAATCTTTGTAGGTTCACTACCTTAACTAACATAAAGTTCTAATTTTAAATAATTGCTTTCAAGATATTAAATAAAATTAGCATCAGCATCAACTTTAAAACTTATTTATAAATTATAAAAACATGATGTTCCTTCTGATACACTTGTATGTTGTGTTTCATGATCATAGAAATCAATTGTAACAAATGTCAATAGACTTCCAAGATCCAAATTTAATTGAGTAGAAGTCTTATATGAAGATACTAATTCAGCAGGTTNAATTACATAGTGTTTTATTACATTAATTAATTTATTGATGATAATTCTTAAGTTTGATATTATGATTTAAATCCTGCTTCATACATAACACTCTCATTAGATTACAAACGGAAAAACTCTTAGAATTTCTATTAATTTAATGGTTATGGTAATTTAGAATAATAAACTTACATTTCTTAAGGATTCATTTTGATACTTAAGACATTCTTTAAACCATTAGCAAAATCTTCAAAAGTGATAATTTAATCTTAATCCTTATCAAATACTCTAAAAGCAGTAATGCCCAATAATCCTCTAGATCTCATTTCTGAACTTATTTTATGAGTAATATTTTCTTCCCAAGATTCTGCAATCATAGATCTCTATTAATTTAATGTATCTTCATCCTTTACGTCATACCAAAAGATTTTAACATAAACTGATGCTACTTTATCTCCATCATCATTTTTGACTTCTGCTGCTAAATCAATCATTTGATTTTTAACTAAAGGAGATAAATCAATTAAACAGAATCCCACTTTATCATTTGATCCTTCTACTAAAGGTTGATTATCATCAATTATATATAATTCTAAAGGCATTCTATTAAATTAATTGACTACCATTTCATTATATACAATATCATGAACCATTCTATAATCCCATTTTGGATTAGATCCCATTTAAGTATTTGTATGAAAATCTTTAGTATCAAAATTATAATAAATGAAACAATTAGATTTAGAAGGTAGAGATGTACCCTTTTCAATACATATTACAAGTTTTCTTTTTCTTACTGCAACTATCTCTTCAGCATCATCAAATTCTTACATCTATAATTAATTTCTTTCTTTTAATAAACGTATAAAATTTGAAATTGGAAATCTCATTCTTGCTTTAAATTCAACTATTCCTATCATTTAATTATTGATTCCATGAAAAGTAAGAGATCCACTAATAACTTTACTGATAGTATCATTTTTATTCTCATAAACTAAATCTTTCAATTAAATTAATCCTGATCCAATCTTTGTAGGTTCACTACCTTAACTAACATAAAGTTCTAATTTTAAATAATTGCTTTCAAGATATTAAATAAAATTAGCATCAGCATCAACTTTAAAACTTATTTATAAATTATAAAAACATGATGTTCCTTCTGATACACTTGTATGTTGTGTTTCATGATCATAGAAATCAATTGTAACAAATGTTAATAGACTTCCAAGATCCAAATTTAATTGAGTAGAAGTCTTATATGAAGATACTAATTCAGCAGGTTAATACTCTCCTTTTCCAATCCATAAATCAAAGAAATTCTCTCCTGGAGATAACATTTCATCTTTGTCAACTGAGAATACAGATATAGAATCATCATATTTGATTCCCTCAGCTTCATACAATGTTTATTATTATCTAGCCTAAGTTTTAAGATCAGCTATTTTTGCATATTCATATGCTTTTTCATTTGCAACCTTTAATTCCAATTTTAATTATTCTATTTATGTCTAATGCATTTTATCTTTTTCCATTTATATATCTTATTAATTCTTTAGTAATGTTTATGTTTTTTCTAAATGTGCAGCCAATTCTCCTTTTTCAAGTTTTAAATGTTCAATCTCTTTTCTTAAATAAACAGGATCATCAGAATCCATATAAGTACGATCTATAAATTCTATTTTTCTCCAAGCAGGATCTTCTCCAGTCCATTTTAGATTACCTAACACTTTTAAAAATTAATCATTATCCCAATAATTTAAATCTTTAAATGGAAGTAATTACTAATCTTTTTCAGCCATCTTTATATTTAATTCTTAATTTCTCTCTTATAATAATTTTAATTCTTTTTTAAGATTTTCAATATCTTCTCTTTTCAATCTATTTTCTGTTTCTAACTTAGCATTAGTTTCTCTTAAATTCTTTAAATCTGTAGTATTCCTTATTTATTCTTATTCCATAGCTTTCATTTTAGCTTATATAGTAGCTCTTTCATTATATTCCTTAAAAAATGGTGATTCCATTAAAATTGCTAATCTTTCTTCAATCTCCTTTTTTTATCTTCTTGCTTCTTACAAATCTGCTTATAAATCAACTACACTTTTTTATGCCAACTCCATAGATCTAACTTATCCTTCCAATAAATGATTCTTTTCTTTTTCTTCTCTTAAAAGCATCATAATTTCACTCTATCTTTTACGTTCATCATCTAATTATGTTCTCATACCATTTAAATTAGATTCTAATTTATTGCATCTTTCTTAAAGTGTTACAAATTAAGCATTTTTTTAACTTAATTCTTATTGATTAACAATTTTAGAATTCATCATTGCTTAAAGTTATCTAAATTATGCTTCTTATTCAAGTAATCGTTTCTTTAATTTATCATTTAAATCTAACAATTATTTTATTTGATTTTATTAATCTACAAATTAACCACCTCTTATTCCAGTTTATTCAATATCTGGTCTATCTGCTTATACTAATTTCTTTTTTTTCATAGGTTAATGTGCAACAACAACTCTTTATGCTTAAGAAATAGCTTATATCTTTTATTTTAATTTTTCATTTTCAGTTTCTAAATTATTTACTTTTGATACTAATTAATTATTTTACTCACCAATTTCAACAGCACCAACAGTTTTATTACCCATGAATTTTTACATTTATTATAATTTAACTTCCATAGTCACATACATTTTTTCAAATTTTACTTAATTTTCTTTTAACTTTATATTCTCATCATAAACATCTAAGAATAATTTCTCTTTCTCTCCATCATTCAATTTATTAAATTAATAAGGTTTCTTCTTAGGCATAGAGGCAATTCTTTTATTAGAAGATTCAGGTCTTTTTTACTATTATGATTATGGTTATGGTTTAGATTTTTAATCCTGGGCAGCTAAACAAAAGTTAACCCATTACTTTTTATAACATTAAGAATAGCATCATCACCATCGCCATCAAAATCATCATTATAAATATTACTCTCAGTTTGTTAATCTGGAATATTAGCTTGTTGTTTCTATTGCTAACGATTCTCACTCTGCCGCTCTTTTAATAGAAAAATAATATTATACTTAAATTTCCAAGGGCATTAGTCANTATTCCTTATTTATTCTTATTCCATAGCTTTCATTTTAGCTTATATAGTAGCTCTTTCATTATATTCCTTAAAAAATGGTGATTCCATTAAAATTGCTAATCTTTCTTCAATCTCCTTTTTTTATCTTCTTGCTTCTTACAAATCTGCTTATAAATCAACTACACTTTTTTATGCCAACTCCATAGATCTAACTTATCCTTCCAATAAATGATTCTTTTCTTTTTCTTCTCTTAAAAGCATCATAATTTCACTCTATCTTTTACGTTCATCATCTAATTATGTTCTCATACCATTTAAATTAGATTCTAATTTATTGCATCTTTCTTAAAGTGTTACAAATTAAGCATTTTTCTAACTTAATTCCTATTGATTAACAATTTTAGAATTCATCATTGCTTAAAGTTATCTAAATTATGCTTCTTATTCAAGTAATCGTTTCTTTAATTTATCATTTAAATCTAACAATTATTTTATTTGATTTTATTAATCTACAAATTAACCACCTCTTATTCCAGTTTATTCAATATCTGGTCTATCTGCTTATACTAATTTCTTTTTTTTCATAGGTTAATGTGCAACAACAACTCTTTATGCTTAAGAAATAGCTTATATCTTTTATTTTAATTTTTCATTTTCAGTTTCTAAATTATTTACTTTTGATACTAATTAATTATTTTACTCACCAATTTCAACAGCACCAACAGTTTTATTACCCATGAATTTTTACATTTATTATAATTTAACTTCCATAGTCACATACATTTTTTCAAATTTTACTTAATTTTCTTTTAACTTTATATTCTCATCATAAACATCTAAGAATAATTTCTCTTTCTCTCCATCATTCAATTTATTAAATTAATAAGGTTTCTTCTTAGGCATAGAGGCAATTCTTTTATTAGAAGATTCAGGTCTTTTTTACTATTATGATTATGGTTATGGTTTAGATTTTTAATCCTGGGCAGCTAAACAAAAGTTAACCCATTACTTTTTATAACATTAAGAATAGCATCATCACCATCGCCATCAAAATCATCATTATAAATATTACTCTCAGTTTGTTAATCTGGAATATTAGCTTGTTGTTTCTATTGCTAACGATTCTCACTCTGCCGCTCTTTTAATAGAAAAATAATATTATACTTAAATTTCCAAGGGCATTAGTCATCGCTTGCTAATCCATTATTTATAAATATATATATAAATATTACAGTAACAAAATCATATATTATATTAACCAGTCTTGAAATCTTATTTAACTTTTTCTATTAATCTTCTTATTTTATTAAAAATTGAAAATTTATGTATCTATATTAATAAATAATAAAACAGTTACTCAATTAATAAGAATTACATAATATTTATAAAACAATTAAGATTTCATAATCAACTCCTTTTAATATGAATTATATCAATTTAATTAGGTTATAGATAATAAGTTTCAAAAATTAATTCTAGTCTATTATTTCTAAAATACAGAATTGATATCAATTTTCTATAAATTAAAAATGATATTTAAATTATGAAGACTTTGAATATTATTTTTAAGAAATCTTTTATCTAATTTTATTAAGTTATAATTAATAGATACAAATTCATAATTTATTTTTCATTTTCATAATAACAAATGGAAGTCCATAAATTTAATATGTGTGAGTTAAAGTAGAATTCAATATTATCATCGCAAGTAGAAACAAGAGCCATGATTGTGGCATTTCGTATTCTTATACTTTGAATGTAAGCTTGTTAAAATTAATATATTTGTAATACATTTAGATAGTCATCTTCTGTGTCATCTTTGTACGTGAATATAAGCAAATATAGTTCAAGTATGAATAACAGAATCAAATAAATAGTGAAAGGTCTATTTGAATAAAATGGTTTTTTGAATCTAGGATCATAGGATAATGATACTGATAACATAATATATTAAAAATTAGTAACTAAAAATAAGGATGTTGCTTCAAATGATTGCATAAAACCTGCTTCACCATATTCTTCATGAGATAATGTAACAGGATCCTTATACCAATCTTAATAAATTAATATAAGATAAATGAGCATTTAAAATGTCATTTAAATAAAACATTATCCCAATATTATTGATAACACTTCTACACTAACTAAACTTCTTTATGGTATTTCTGTAGTTAATTTCTTAAGATTATCAGTGTAAGTCATTAAAATACTAAGTGGTAATACTACAAATAAATCTAAAATAAGAAATTAAGAATTAGTCATATATGAATATTGGAAATATAAGATTGTACAACTTAAAAATTGTACTAATGAACACATTGTCATATATTCAAAAGCTTAAAATGAAGTAGTCAAAGCTCCTCTTCCTTCAATTAGAATTATTGGTACTGTACTTAAATCCTCTTATCCAGATGTAAATGGAGCAGCTAATGACAATTTTGTATTTGTTAAACTTATTCCAACATCTGCAGTACGCATAGCTTAAATATCAGCACCTCCATCACCACAAAAAACAATCTATTTATTAGTTTTTAAGTAATTAATTAATTCAGCTTTATGTTCTCTTCTCATTTTAGCATAAACTTTGGTTTTTGTTATTATCTAATCAATATATTTATAATCTTTATTATCTTTTGCTTAATTCATTAAATAAGTAAACAATTTGCCTGTAATTGCTAATGTAGCTGATTTTTATAATTTTTCATGTGTTTCATCATTGACTATGACTATATTATTATCCAAATTCTCAGATGATTTAGCATCAAAATTGAATTTACTAATAGAATTAGGTAATTTCTATTATAGAATTTCTACACATAAAGTTCTTGTATCATTATTCATTTAATTTTCAATTTCTTTAAATTATTATTCCATATCTTTCCAATCAATTTATAATTCATTATTATTTTCTAAAAGTTCTCCATATACTAATTATTCATTATCTTCAACTACTCTAGTTTGTCTGGCTACTCTCATTGATGTTAATACATTATCTCCAGTAACTAAAATTATATCTATTTTTGCACTTTTCAATTATTATATTACTTATTCTGCATTTTCTTTGACTCTATTTTCTAATACTAAAAAACACAAAAATGATAGTTTTGATTCAGAATATTCTCTTGTAGGAATTACATCTTCTTATAATAATTATTTATATGCACAAGCAATAACTTTAAATCCATGATGACTATAATATTTAAACACTTAAGTATAATCCTGTGGAATATTTTCACACATTAATTTAATCTTTTCAGGAGATCCCTTTACTAATGAATATTTATTATGATTTTATTAATTATGAATAATACAACAAATTCTTTATTATTCTTATGAAAATTCAAATGTTTTTACAATATCATAATTTATTCCATCCAATAATACTGTTCTATAAAATATCTTTGCAGAACTATTTTTAAATAATGCTAAATCTAAATGATCTCCATAAAGAATTTCTTCTTCATTAACAATATTATTACAACATGCCATTATTAATCTTATTATTTTATTTAAATTTTAAAAATCTTTCAAAAGAGGATTCAATTATCCCTAATTATTCATTTCTATTACTCCATAAAGTCTTTATTCTTCTTCTGTTAATGTTCCTGTTTTATCAAAACAAACTTAACTGACAACTCCTGCTAAATTTATCTTATTTGGATTGAAACAATATATTTTTTTCTTTTTAAATCTTTTCAATGCTAAACTTAATCCTATTTATAAAGTTGTAGGTAAAGTTGGTGGTACACATACAGCTAATAAATCTAATATATCAGTAATTAGATCAGTAGCTTCTATAAAAGGATAAGTAATTAAAAAATATATCTTAAATGGTAAAGCAATTAAATAACCTACTATTGCTACTATACTTAAATATTTTAAATATCTCATACTATCATCATAAAAATCAAATGAATAATCAGGTGTTAACATTACTTCTCTTATTAACTCACCTTTCTTTGTATTAAAACCTGTTGAAACAACAAAAGCCAAACAATTTTCATCTGCTCTCAAACAAAATGTTGACATATATAACATATTTCCATCTTTTTATACAAAAACTGAATCATCATTTGGTAAATTGCTTTTTGTAATTGGAGTTTATTCACCATTCAAAAATGACTCTTAAACAATACATGTTCCCTATATAAGTACACAATCACAAGCAATAACCTAAAAAGGCTAAACTTATATTATATCTCCTGGTACTAACTCTCTTGAATGAGTTGTTATTTATTATCCAAATCTTATGATATTTACTTCATGTTCTAATTTAGAATTCAGTCTTATTTCTCGATAACTCTCTCTATATTCAAATAAAGTATCTATCATTGAAATAATTGATGTTAAAAGCAATATAATAGCATAACTAGTATATTCTTCATAAATCCATAATAATATTTGAAGAAGCTAAACAATAAATAAAGGATGCATTAATTCATCAATAAGGATAGAAAGTATAGGTTTTCTAGGAATCTCTGTAGAATTAATTCCATAAAGTTCTTAATAATCTTTCAGCTATTCATAAGACTTTATATGATCTCTCTGATGAACATCTTTATTATTCTAGAGTTAAAACTAAATTTTTTCAAATCTTCCCTCTCTATATATAAATCTTTTATATCTGTATGTAAAACCCTAAATTTATATGCAATTCATACAATATAATCTAATCCTTTTTATATATAATGATGACTAGGAACAATTACTTATGTACCATCATTTGAGTCTATTCGAAAATATTCTGCTGCAAATATTTCACATTTTGACATTCTCAATATAGCCCAAATTTTATAATGCCAAGTAGCTACTACATAGACTAAACCTAAAGATAGAATGCACAGAAGATAAAATAATATTGCTTTTGCAATTTTTTATCGATAGGGCACTATTAATTAAATTTCCTACATTTTATAAAATTATATTTCAAATTAACATTTATGATTCAAAATGAATACAAATATGTATACACTAAGTATCAAACATATCTCTTTTTATTAATTGATTAAAATCAAAATAATATTTTCATATCTTTATATATATATTGTTATTTTAGAAATATCATGTAATTTAATAATATTTTTTATAATTTCAAATTCTTTTTTCGAATAATAGACAATTATCTGGTTCCAAAATGTATAAGAATTTTATACCAAATCTAATCTATTATTACACTTCAGGATTCAAAATAATTTTATATTTTCTAACAAGCAATGCTATTATTATTTTTGATTCCATCATAGCCATATGTTATCCAATACAATTTCTTGGTCCTGCTCCAAAAGGAATATAAATATAACCATTATCGTTTTTAACTTATTTTTGTTTATTTAACCATCTTTTATAATTAAATTCAGTAGCCTTATCAAAATATTTCTCTTATTTATGACTAGCATTTTACATTTATATTAGAGCCCATCCTTTTTTAAGTTTAATTTCTTAAAGTTATGTATCATTTTTTACTATTCTAAAAATTGTAGAATAGGATGGATTCTTTAATCTTAGAACTTCTTAAATCAATGCATTAATTTTAACTAACTTATTTAAATGTTCTTCTTTAATTTCATTCTATCCAATAACTTCTTACACTTCTTCTAATATTTCACTTTAAATTTCTGGATATTAAGCCAAATAATATAAACAAGTACCAATAGCTGTGGCAGTTGTGTCAGTACCAACAAAAAATAGTGTTGTGAATTGATGTATTATCTCTTCAATATCTATTAATTATTCTTTTTATTATGATTATTATGATAAGTATTCAGTAACATATAAATCTAAGAATACCATTTTATCTTTATCTTATATTGGGTTTTATCTTAGTTATTCAATTCTCTTTAAAATCATCTCTTTCACCTTCATTTTTACATTATCTACTCTTCTTACTATGTCTTTTTCTTTTTAAGATGGAAAAATGTCCCACATCCTTTCTTTAAATATCAATGACTTAATAAAAACAAATGGATTTTCAAATTAGATTTAACTCATTGATCCTGTCAATTCTATTAAAGCTATTTAAGCATCTTTTCCTTCCAATTTAAAACCTTATGCCAATTCACCAAAAAAGCTTTTTATTACGATTTCACCTGTCATCCTTGAAATGAATTCATTTAAATTTTCCTTAGAATCTTTCAAGGCAATATCTTCAACAACTTAATTCATCATTGGAATCCTTGATTTTAACTTATCAAATGTAAATGCTGAACCTAAAAGATTTCTCTATCTTTTCCATCTCTCTCCTTCACTGAAAACTAATCCTTTTTACATATATGATTTTATCTAAAATGGGTTCATCTTTTCAAAATTATGATGTTCTTAAAATGAATCCCTAATGTACTCTGATCCTGTAAGAATAATACAAGGCTTATATATCAAATTTGATAATATAACCTTTGCATTAGGATTCCTTCTTAGAGCTGCATAAATTGTTTCCATAGCATCATGATTTTTTTTGATTGAATTCATGAGCAATCCAATAAAACCATTGATTGGATTAAACATTAAAATTGCTTTATCTCCTAATTTAAGTTTCAATAGTAACAAAGGAGTTAAAGGTCTTATTATAAAGAAATAAATTGCTATTGCTATCAATCCAAGAGCAACAAAGCCAATAATATACATTTAAATTAATAATAAATTTTTTATTTAAAAGTTTCGGTTATCATTTAAAAAAAATTCTAAAAAGATAAATAAAAATTCTTAATTTACATAGGTGTTTATCAGAAACAAGTAATCATTAATAAATAAATTTCCAAATATATTCAATTTTATGTAATTTTACTTTGCATTATTATTATATTTAAACGATGAATTTTAAATAATATATTAAAAATAATAGGATAACTCTTAAATATATAATTATATAATAAGAAATAATGGAATCTTTAAGAGTTTCCTAATTTGAGAATTTTATTATTTTTAAATTTAATAAATTTATCATATTGATATTTTCTAAATTAAACTTGGAAAGTCATTATAGTTTCTTTTGAATACTTATATAACTTCTGTTAAAATATCACTTTATTGGGTTCTAAAATGATATACATTTATTATATACCTAATTTTAGTAGCTTCTACATAACCATTATGATAATCAACGCATGTTCTCTCCCAATCATCTTTTTATTTTCTCAATAAAGTTGATTTCTTGAAATTTCAATAGATTATTATTACTTCTGTATTAAATCTAATGTCATTATTCAATTCTAATATGGTTTAATTGATTATTAAGACTCTTGCCTTAAATGTAGCAATAGTTGCTTCTAATCTTCTATTTTAGATAACAATTCTTTCTTTTTAATTTTAATAATCTTATTCTCTAGCATTGTCTGTCAATAATTCTTATTTTAATAAATCGAAAACACTTTCAATTAATTCATCAATAATTTCTTAAATTTTAGCTACTCCTTATTAATTAGCTTGAATTCCTGGATCTCTAAAAGATAATTTGAAATATATTTTACTATGATGTTTCTAAAAGTAATTCATAAAGTAATCCAATTCCATTAGATTATTTTTTCAATAATTTTTAATGTACTTCTAATTCATTAAACATAAATTAAGAGAACTCTAAGAATGAATAGGTTCCAGCTAATGGATCCCATTTTTTGGTACTTAATTTACTAATAATTCTTTTTCCTTCTTAAAGTGCACCAACCATATTTGTCAATTCATCTCTTCTTGCTTCATATTATTACTAAAATTAAGCAATATATTATACTCTAGTTATGTCTCTTTCTTAAGTCAATTCATCAATACGTTAATTATTTCTATTTTCAATTTCTTATTTATCCAATAATTATCTTTATTTGTTTTTTTATTCTTAGATGAACAATGGTAATGTTTGTTAATCTTTAGCCAACTAATATTCAGATGAATCAATAACAAATAAGATTTCATCATATTTATCATCACAAAATTAAGTATGATCTCTTGACTTTTATCTTTCAACATCTTATTCCTCATTGATTCTATCCTTCATTTATGTAAGAAGATCAATAATTTTATCAACACTGCTATTTCCTTATAATTCAACTTGAATTGTTTAAATTATTGTTTTTCCAAATTCAGTGCTTTGCAGAGATTGAAGGAGTGTCTCTCCTTCACTCATACAACTTGCAAATAAAACAAGTGAGCATAATATTATCACTTTATACATTATAATTAATAATTAAAACGGATTTGTGATCATTATGTATTTTATTCTTTTTTATTTTATAATTCAATGATGATGATGATGTCCTCCATTTGCATCTTATAATTTTAGTGTTCCTGTTTTGCCTACAACAACCTACACATTTCCAAATTATCTTCCAACTATAGGAATTCCTTCAGCCATCTCTACATTAATCTCATCTATAATTTCTCTCAATTAACCTCTAAATAATGATTAGAAAAAGTAAGGGAATGCTAAAAATATCAAGAAGAAATTTCTTGTCCATCTATAGAAGGCTCTATAATCATTAAACTTAAGAATATTAGAATATTTTACTTTTAAATAATCGTAGTCGACAACAGCATTTTAATGCAAATATGTCCATTCTTTAAAAGTTCTCTCTTCAGTAGACCAAACTCTAAAATATTCAGCATCTTCAGAAGTAATACGATGCTCTGTTTCAAATGGATTTTTTTTCATATTGTGATATAATGGTCTATGATATTAACCAACACCCATAAGAGCATTTCCTCTAACTGATCCTTTGTTTGGTCTTGGAACACCTTTGATAAATACATAATATTGTACCTCCTTTGTATCTACCAAAATCATCCACATTAAAAACTTATCTCTCTTTTTTCAAATAATCTTGCTTCTCTTTTGCATAATCTGATGCCACTTATCCTGGTCTTTTGTATGTACCATCATCATTTCTTTCGAATGATTATTTATATCTTTCCATCTCGGCACCATACAATAACTCTGGTTATTCTTTACTCAAAAGATCATAGGCATTTCTGCTTTGTATTTATGATAATATTGCAAAGGCTTCAGCCACATCTTAAAATTCTTATTGGGCTGATGCATCATTTATAGCAACAGATGTAGTAACATTTGGATAGAGTCTAATATTTTTTGTATTAACATGTACTTTTGTGCTTTCTTTGTATAAGCTTCTCTGATTTATTCTTCTGTGGCATTCTTCTATATTCCCAAAATTGCATAATAATCTTTTCTTTTACCGAAATATTAGACTTGTTTTAATGGCAATTTGAATAAGCCTCTTGATAATATCATTATTATTATATATATTTATTTATATATTTTTATTTCTTATTCATCATTGGTGCTATTATTATTGAAGATTTGCAATTACATTATCCTTCTCCTCCAATTAACTTCTCAATCCTTCACATTCTGTAAATTGCATTGTTAAAATCATCATACAATCTTAAACTCTTTAAATATTTATAAATATCTTACTTTTTATTTAATTCATCTACAGTTTTTAATTATTCCTAATATTTATTAATATCTTCTTTCTATCTTTCAACTATCTCTTATGATTCTTAATATTTTGGTGATATTACTTGGAACTAAGAATATTCATATATATATATACTTTTTCTTCAAATGGAGTTAAATATCTTATTCTTTCTTCTAATTTCTACATCAATTAACGTAATTCTTCTAATTCCTTCTATCTTTAATTTACAATTGCATTTAATCTATCCAAATCAGCTGAATATTATTTATTTAAATTGCCCAATTAATCTGTTTAAGTCTTCAAAACTTCATGTTCTCTCTTCATCTATTCTAATTCAGCAATTCTATAAATTAAATTAAATTTATACCTTCTATTTAATTCATCAATAGTTTAGTTTGCTTATTACAATTATAAATCCAAAGCTCCAAACTATGAATTTAATTCATCAAATTAATGAGTCTTTTCTCTTAATTATTCAGTCAATCTTTCAATATCTTTTAATTGTTAATTAAATTTGTTTTCAATATCTTTGTATCTAGCTTCATTTTATTTGAACTCTTAAATTTATCTTTCTAATTCTTATAGATCTTATCTCATATCATGATTCTCACTCTATAATTATTCAATATCTTTTATGGCATTATTCAAATCACTGTTTAAATTGTTATTTTATGTCTCAGCTTAGGACAATTTGTCTAAAGTTTATTAGTGTTTAGCCAATAATTATTCATAATCCTAAGTTTTCTTTCTCTCTTCCTCATAATCATGAACTAAATTATTCATTCTTTCACTTAATGCTTCCAAAGCATCATCTTTAACTTTCATTGTCATTTCTTACTAATTCAAATTCCATTTGTGAGTTTCAATATCAATTTAATTTTATTAAATAATTTTGTTTAATTTTTCAATATCATTCTATAGTTATTAAACTCTTTATTCTGCCTACTTATATCTTTCCTCTAAAATTCGATATTAATCTTCTAAAGGTTATAATTATTAATATTTTAGTTTCCAATCATTTAAATCTTATGTTCTTGAATCAAGTAATTATTTCAATTTGCTTAATTCATCTTATGCATTCTATAATTATTTCTCTAAATCAGCAACATAATTTTCAAGTGATCTCAATTTATTGATTTCATTTTCCAATTATAAAATTTATTATTATAATTAATCATTTTCTTTTAACAATGTAGTAATTTAATCATTTTGTTTTTATATTTCTTTAGCTTAATTTTAAATGAGGATATCTTAATCTTATAATCTCTTCTCATTTGCTTATGCTTACAATAATTATAAATCTTATTAAGCAACTCTTCTCTTCAAATCATCAATCAATTTTTGATATTCATTAATTTTATCTTCCAATAATCTGCATTTCATTTCTACACCTCTTAATTCACTAATAGTGTATTCTAACTCTGTACATTTCTTTTATAAATCCATTAATTATTACAATCTTTATTTATTCTATTAATTTAATCTACTAATATCATCATTCTTTTGTTAAAGTGCATTTTTTAAATCATTTAATTATTATTCCATTATCTATTTATCAGTTAACAATTAATCTAATTATTCTTAAATTTATTTAATAGTAAGTTCTTTTTCTTCTCTTTCTGAATTAGCTGCATGTAAATCTCCTTATTATTATCCTGCTTTTTCATTTAATTCATTAATTCTATTTGTTAACTACTCATTTTGACTTTTAAGACTCATTATTTCATCTCTATTACTCATAATATCATCATTTAATTTATTAATTTAATCTTCTAGATTACGAATATTATCATTGCATTTTTGAAGTTGTTAATTTAAATAATTGATTTCATTAATTCTGCCATTTAAATCTCCTTATAATTTCTCAATTTCTCTATTTAATTATTTAATCATTTGATTTAATTGATTAATTTAATCTAATAAATTTTTATTATCTTATTCTGCTCTTGCCAACTTTTCCTTTAATGAATTATTTTAAGCATCCTTATCTCTCAACAATCCATTTAATCTATCAATTTCTCTAACTTACTATTATGATAATTATGTTAATTAATTCAATTTCTATTCTGATCCATTTTATTAATTTCCTAAATTATTGTATTTATTCTCAAGTGTTGAATATTTATTTCTCCAATCATTCAGATCTCGATCCCTTTATTATAATTAATTACCTAAATCAGCAATTTTACTTTCATATTGAGATTTCATTGTAGTGAATTATTATTACAAAGTATTATATTTATTTTTCCAATCATCACATTCAAGTAACTTATTTTTTAAATCATTCTTTAATTTATCATTTTCAGCATTTCTTTCATTTAATAATTTAGTTAATCTATCTATTTCTGATTATAATGTATTAAATTTATTTTCATAATCTCTAATTCTAACTTCATAATCTCTAATTTATTTTTATAATCCATCCAAATTTCTACCTGAGTTATTTTTTAAATCATCCAATTCTCTCTATCTTTAAGTAAGTAAATCTTATAATCTCTTCATTTCTGAATCCCATGATGATTTATCAGTTGAATATTTACTCTTCCATTAATTTATATCTTTTTCATAATCTGTGATCTTACGTTCAGCATCCTTTAATCTCTAAGCAAGTGAATTATCAACCTACCCTAATCGTGACTTATAATCAGCGATCTCTGTCTCTAACTACTTGATTCTTATTAAATGTTTATCAATATCAGATTTGTATTGCGTTATATCTCTATTTGCTTAATCTAATTTTGCTTGTAATTCTCTCACTCTCACATCTCCACCTTCACTTTAACTTTCTAATTCCTTTATTCTTTTAATTAAAGCATCATTTTCTCTCATTATACGATCATTCTCCATTGCTAAAAGAAAACACACAACTTCTGGGTATTTTCCTAACCATTTTCTCTCCCCTGATGGTGGTGCCATTTGAACACTTCATATAAATAACTATTTACGCTGTAGCAGGTGGTGCTTTTATTGTACTTGATCTTCTTCCTTCCGATCTCTCAAATGTACTTGTAGTGGTCGTTTGTGGTACTGACAAATTAGATGATGTTGTAGTTGTTGTGACTGATGTTCGGTAGCTAGATTATGTTGTAGCTGCTTGATTCTAACCTATACCACTAGAACCAAGAGTGGATGGTCTATATCTACTTGTGTAGGAAGACATTTATTTTATTAAATAAAAAAATAAAATTCAATCATCCAAGATTTTTACTATATTAAATAAATATATTTATAAATATATACCATTTTCTATAAATCTAAATACAATTATAATCTCTTTTGTTATATAAAAATAAATAATAAACTAATGCACACTTATTAATCAATATGATAATAATAATTAATCAATAAATAATTAAAAAAGATATATTTACTAATACACCTATTTGGTGATCATTTAATAAAAAAACCCTTGGTTATATATACTGTTTTTATTTTACACTAATAATATCTTTTGAATTAGATTTAATATATATTTATTCACACTTAAATAATAACTGAATTAAGATGATATTATTTGATCAACATAAATGATGCCCATAATATTCACATAGTAAATTTTATTGTAATAAAGAATAATATGATTATTTCATTTCAATATTAAGATATAATTTAATATTACTTATTTAGATTATTTTTGGTTTTTATCAAATAATCAAAATTACATATTGATTCTTATATTCTAGAAGTTGATTAAACATTTAAATTGGATTTTTATAAAAATAAAAAAGTGATTTTAACTGAAAAATCTTCAATTATTGTTGATCATTATTTAAAATATAAGAAATTTAAGTAAAACTTAATTGTATCTAAATTATTAAATCTAAATTGCCAGACAATAATTATTTTAGGCAATTTCATAATAAAGAGCTGTTTGGAGAGATTATTTTTAGAAAAATGATTTATTTAATTATTTAATTCATTAAAATTCATATATTTTTGATAAAAAGAAATTATGAATAAAAAAAATAAGAACTCAAAAAAAGAATCCATTTCATAAACTATTGATAAATAATCAAAAGTCAAATCATTAGCAGAGTTGGAGATTACATAAAAATTAGTATTCTTAAGAAAAATATTATGGACTTGGTTGATCTGGCAAAGTGTTATTGTACTAAGTTGCTTTTTGATATATTCTAAACTTCCTTTTTTGTCATCTGTATAAAGGTTGATTGATTCAGATTTATTATTGATGTTTTTTCTATGTTTAACTGTAATTTTACTATATTTTGGATCTAGTAATATTAAATAAAAAGAAGTATTATATTGATATATAAATACTAGCAAAAAACATCATAATTATATTTGATATCAGTTATAATAACTTAAACCTTATTATATTCATTGATTACTAATAAATTAGTAGAAAACTCAATAAATTTCTTATTGATTCATTGTATGTAGCTAATTGTTATTGCTAATTTAATTCTATATTTTAGAAATGCTATTGAAATCAACCATTTGATTTATTTCAAATAAATGTTTTGGTATTCTGGATTCTTAATAGCAGCAGAATTCTTTTTTACTAAATCTACATCAATAAACACAATACCAGGAATGATTGTAATAGGAAGTATATTAGGATTTGGAACATTTGCTTTAAGATCAATTGAAACTTTAATTGATGGCAAAGTAATAATAAATTATGATTATTAATAGTTTAATCTAAACCAGGAATAAACATCTTTGGGTTCTCTTCTGGCTTATACAAATTTATTATTACCATATAGAAAAAGTGAATGAATAATATTGTAAATAGAACAATAATTTAAATTAATAAAAATTTATTATATTTAACTTAAATTCTCACTATAAAGGTATATTGAATTATTGTTTATTAATCATTAATTAATTAATGTAATAATAAACAAATCTGAAAATTTGTGATAAAATTTCTTAACTTGTAAACAGACCAAAAAGAAGCGAACAAGTTAATAAAATTTGCAAACCTGTGAAGGTTTTATCTAACCACTTTCCAGTATGATTAATAGATTATAATTTAGTTTGAATTTAAAGACAAATCAGCTGGTTTAAATATTTATGCCGTCAGCTTCTCAGAAGATGTTCCATAAGATAGCAGAGAAGTTATAAGTTAGCTTATTAATCTCTCTAAAGATTAATTTAGAAAGGCAGGCCTTGAAAAATTTTCTGTAAAGATTTCATAATATCCATTTTAGATTAGAGGTCTTAATATTTGGAGTCCTCAGTATGTCTAAGAAAGAATCATATCAGAAGTTACACTAGATGGAAAAAAACATTGTGTTTATTTGAACTTCACAAAGGCAATCGATTTCTAATATCTTGAAGGGTATTAATTTAATTAAAAATTTTTTTTAGAGAGAACCAAGATCCTGCTTTGATGTAGCCATTATAACAAGCTATAAATGTCTAAGTTAAGAAAGCACTCAAAGACATGGGATTAAGGGAGCTTAATAGGTTATCTTAATTTTTTGATCCAAAATCTGTTGATGCTAATCCAGTTAGGGGTTTCCCTCTCAAAGTGTGGCTAGGATTTAAGACATCCCTGAAATTATCTTAGACAAAGCCTTAATTACTTATTGATTATGCTTCAAGAGTCTTGAGCACAGAGACAGCATTAAGTTTCATCAGATCATTTAATTAAAATATTGGAGAAATAAAGGATTAAGTTGAAGGAAAGTCAGTACTTGCTACTTATGGAAATTATAGACTATATAAAATTTCTGCTGTTGATTTTAAGAAAAATCCAAATTCAACTTTTCAACTAGATGATGGAAAATAAATCACTTATGCCTAATATTATTAGGAAAGGTATAAAATAAAAATAAATGATATGAAATAACCTCTACTAGAGAGTTTAGATAAAAGAAATCCAGATAAAAAATTTTATTTGATTCCAGAATTAGTTTATATGACAGGTTTAAGAGATGATTAAAAATCAGATTTTGGATTAATGAAAGAATTAGCCTTTTATACTAAAAAAGAACCTGGTGAAAGATTATAAATTATATAATCCTTGTTGGGTAAATTACAAAAATAACTTGGTGCCCAATAAATGGTATTAAAATCTGACTCTACAACTGCTGCTTATATTTGTCAATAACCATAATTGATGTTTGGAAACCAAAGAAAATTAGATCCAGATCCAACTGGATTTTTCATATTAAAAGATCCAGTTTATCAAAGTTCATATATTAAAGATTGGTTCTTAATTTATTAATCCAGAGGAAGATAAGATGATGATCTTGCAGATGATTTAGTAGCAGATCTTACTTAATAAGGAGGTAGATTAGGTATAAAATTTGACAAACCATTTTTTATAAATATGAAAGGTAATAAACCTTAAGATTGGGTTAAAGAATTATAAGCTGAATTTAAAAATGGTTTGCCTTCACTAGTTGTTTCTATTACAGATAAAAATAGAGACACATCACTTTATATTGCTTTAAAAGACTTCTTACTCTCATAAGGTGGAGCTGGAGTAATCCATTAAAATGTTACAACAAAGGCTTGTAAAAATAAAAATAAGTAAAGTATTGCTTCAAAAATTGCTTAATAAATCAGTGTAAAATTAGGAAATCCATTATGGGTAATACCAAAAGTAAAAGGAATTTCAGATAAAATTATGATTATTGGAATGGATATTTATCATAAATTAGTTTCAGGAAAATAATCTTGTATGGGATTTGTGGCTCATTTTGATTTAGAATGTAAAACAAGTTTTTCAAAATCTATTATTATGAGAGCTGGTTAAGAATTTAATCAGGCTGTTGGATAAGCTTTTAAAGAAGCTCTATAGGCTTATTTTATACATTATAATAAAAAACAATTGCCAGATACTATTTTGGTTTATAGAGATGGTGTTGGAGAATCATAAATTCAAGCTTTAATATAGACAGAATTAGAATAAATTAAAAAAGTTATTTCAACCTACACAGCAGGTTATAATCCTTAATTTGCATTCATTACAATTAATAAAAAAATTTCAGATAGATTCTTTATGAGTATTGATGATGCTCCACCTTAAGCAAGAAAAAATACTAAAAGTCCCTACATTAATCCAGTTTCTGGTTTAGTAGTTGCTGACAGAATTACATCTAAATATTTTGACTTTTTTTTAGCTGCTTAATATGTTACTTAAGGAACATGCACACCAACACATTATACAGTATTAGATAATAATACTTAATTTACTGAAGAAATGTTTTGGCAAATTACCTACTTTTAATGTTTCAATTATTGGAATTGGACAGGAGCTGTGAAAGTACCTGCTTGTGTTCAATACGCTCATAAATTAGCTTTCTTAGTTGGAGATACCTTCTAAAAAGCTGTTCATTAAAATCTCTAGAAATAGCATTTCTATTTATGATTTTTTTAGTTTCTTCTTATATATATATATATAAATCAACAATTTAATAATATATTTCATTCTTAGAATTAATCTTATATATTAATGTTTAGAACTCTTGTCATAATTTCTAATGCTCCACGTAATTATGGATCTTTAGTTGGATCCTTTAATTTTTCAAGTGCTAATCTCTTCCTATTATCAACTAAATTATGTTTAATTTTTGAGGCTTTCTGACTACTTTCTAATAGTAATACCTTTTCTTATTCTAGTTTGCTAATTAGTTTATAATTATTTAATACTCTTAGTTCAATATTAATTTGGATTCCCTAGTAACAATAGAACTTTTATTAAAATTGAATTTCTATTATAACAATTCATTTAATCTTTAGGCTCGTTTTTTCTCTTAATAAATTATTGAAAATATACTTAAACTTCTGATTCTGCTTAATCATCCATATTTTATAAAGTCTTTCCAATTAAATTTTTCTCAATATAATCAATTTTCTTTCTCTTTTCTTCTAGTTTCTTATCTTCTATCTTTTATTCTTCACTTTTCTTTTCTGGAGACAATTTTTCAATTCTTTTATCTCTGACTGTTTCAAATTTTTAAAGAGTTAACTTAATTAATTTTAAATTTTCTTCAGAATTGGCATCTAAAACTCTTATATCTTCACTTAATTATAATAAGTTGTAACGTAAAGCAGTAACATCTTTCAAAAAACTCATACATTATTAATCATCCAAAATCTTATGACCAGCCTACCTCATCATTAACATATATAATTCAATTCGATCCCTCAGATATTAAAGCATCTCATTAAATAAATCTGCATTTTTATCATATATTTTTTCCTCTTAATGAGGATCTATATATTCTGGATTTGACTCTTATAAATGCTTAATAGGGGACTATTTCAGTCCAATCTATTCAGGGTTCTTTTTGAATTCTTATAAAATGATAGAACCTATTTAATCAATTAGTACTATAGTGTCTTCCAACCTTTAATTAAACATTCCCTTTTTTTTAGGTTGCTCCATTAAATCCATTAATAAAAAGATCTTTTTAAGTCTAAACTTGTCAAGAAGTAAATTTTTTAATTAGTTGCATTTCTCCATTATTATTTTTAATAAATCTCTAATAACAACATGTTACATAGTCCTATCTTGATGAATTTCAATAATTGTTACCTCTTCTAATAAATGCATCAAATTAAACATAAGGTAATCCTTCAAATAAATTTGCTCTATCTATTTCTGTATGCTTAAATAGTCTGTATCTTCCTTAAGGCCCAATTGATTTTCTCAGTTATTAATTGCTCGTATATTTTTTCATTATAATTTTACTTATTTTTTAATATAATGAATTTTTTTATTTTTAAAGTAATTTAATCAAATATTCCTTATCTCTTTTATTATATACTTAATAATTGAAGAGGATACATGAAATTTAATTTATAAAGATTAACTAAAATCATATTTCAATTTTCTATTAAAAAAGTTTTTCAAATACACTTGCAGGTCCTTGGGAATCAAAAAATTAATTTAATTTTAATTTCTCTCTATTAATTTATTGATTAATTATTACCTATTATATTCTCTTACATCAGATATGCCAATCATTCCTAATAAATAGGTTTATAAACCCCATAACTCTCTATCATCTTTATTATCATAAAATGGGACTATAGGTATTCCATTATCCAATTGCCAAGCATAGCTATAAGCAGCATTATCAATCAAAACAATTTAACTTAATTGCCTATCGAAAATTCTAAGATCCTTTGTATACATTCCTCCAGTAGTCATAATACAATTGTCTCTAAAAAGACGATGAGAAATCAATTTTTTTTCTGGATCCAAATAATCTAAGACTTATACAGCATAGCATGAATGTGAAGCTGTAAAAACTATTATTTCGAAATCATCAACCAAGGATTCCAATAATTCTATAGCTCCTGGACGGATATTGACTCCTGCTTTAACCATTTCATTTGGACCAACCTATATATTTAATACAATATCAGATTTTTATAACAATGATTCATTACAATGTACCAAAGTTTCATCCAAATCAAAAATTAAGGAGATTTTATCTATTTTTAATAATAATTATAAATACTCTTATATTTATCTTTTTATTTTAAAGAAACAGTCTTTTTCTTTACATCATTAGGATCAACTGGTCTGAGATAAGATGCTACATAAATTCCTTGATAAGTTTGAAAAAAATGTTCTCTATAAATACAACTAAAATAATCGTCTCTTAAGGGACGAGTAAAAACTTATCTGATCTTGCCCAAATAATATTAAAATTAACTATTTTCTTTGTTTTCCTTATTAAATTTTGTGCTTTCAAAATATTTTGATTCTCTACTAGATAATTATTATGATTGTTGAAGTGATAATTATCTTGAATGTTGAGGAGTTGTTTAATGTGATTGAGCCTTCTTGGGTTTCTGTAACATTGCATTGTATAATTTTTTATAATTTTAATCTTTGGAACCTATTGATTGTTATCTTTTGTGCTGCACAGAAGTCGGGGCTTTTAAGTCAGAGGTTTTAGGTCTTACATCTGTAGCCATAGGTGATCGTTAAGTCTATTTAAACATGTTCATTTCTAAGTTTGGAGTTACTTTAGTGACAAGTTGATTTAACAGTGATTAACTTTTTGAATAATTTCTAGTAGGTGTATCACGCTTTTGTTGCAGCAATTAATTATACTTCTACATTGCTGCAACTAACTCTAGATTTGACATTTGTTTCTTCTTTTGTTGGTTCTCCCTACAAAATTGTTGCTTTAAGAATTCTTTCCCAAATATATTGCCATTTGAATTCGATTTAGTAGACATGTTTCTAACAGAATTAATGAGATCCAATTTTTATGTCTTCAGATTTTAACTTGCTTTCTGCAAGATATCGAATACATTATTGGTCTCAATATGAGGCTTAGGCTTCATTATTTATATTATATAATAATTTACTAATTTTATATCAACCTTAAATATAAATAATCATTTGTTAAAATTACAACATCAATTTGATTTTTTTCACTCTGATAATTTTTGAGAATACAAATATCTTTAAAAAATATAATTGTATTTTATTAATCCATTAAAAAAGATTATTTATTTATTTTAATTTGTAAGTTATATAACACCTATTTATTTTACTTCAGGATACTTTCTAACATTAAATTTTTTTAGTTTTAATTAGATGTTTACTCATTATTAAAATAGTTGATTTATTTTTTTAATTTGAGTTTCAATTAATTTAAAACATACAATTATTGCACAAAAAATTTTGTGAGAAGGGACATATAATATATACAATGATAGCGGAGAGTTTTTTGCAAAAGAGAAATTCTCTCTAATTTCAATTAAGATTTACTATAAATTTAAGTCACTTCTAAATTATTCTTCACTCTGAAAAATATATCTTTATTTTAGAGAATCAGTTATCAGGTTGATAGAAATATATATGGTATATTTAGATTTGGTGTTAAACATGTTTTGCTAAATATTATATTCAAATTTTGAATTAAAAAAAATACATTTTGATTTAAATTATTTAAATATTGAATCATATTCATATCCATTCATAAAATAATATTGAAAACAATAACAAACCAGATTTAGGAACTTATAACTTATCTGAATAAAGTTACTCTTGGAGAGTAGATTTAAAATAAGAAATCGAAGCTCTATCCTATTAAATATCAATCTAAATAATTGCTCATTAAGATTAAACCAAACTTAACTATCAGCAATCCTATTCAAGAGTATTTTTTATTATGTGCCAGTATGAAATATAATGGATTTTCATTACTCTAATTAGATGAAACTAATTTTAAATTTTAGTAAGGTGAAAAGTTGGGTTAAAAGCAAAATAAATAAAATATTGATAATTTATGAATCTTAAAAATGTGAGTATTTTTGGATTTATAAGGGATAATTTATTAGTTAAATATCAAATAATATTAGGATATGGAAACAAGATAATTTTTGGGTAATTTTTAAATGCAATAATTAATTATTGATGCTCAAAAACATTTTACAGTTAATATACTAATAAGTTCTTTATCTAATCAAATAACTACCCTAAAATAGATCAAAATTTATTAGTAAAGATGAATATTCACATATTTTTTGTCCCTACTTTTAATTTCTATTTAATCCAATCGAAAAAAATTAGGGATTAATGCAATAAATTGTAATAGATAGTGATTCAAGAGCAAACTCAGCATAAAATAATTTTTTAAATTAGATATTAACAAAACTCAAACTAATTTGTATTTAGAGGAAATGTTAATTTAGATTAGAAATGGTAATTATATTGTTGATTGAATTCATAAAATTTATATCTATTTTTAAGGGTTATAGGTATTCAATATTATAATACATAAAATTAAATATTGAAACAAAACATTAAAAATTAATACATAAATTAATATGATGATGAATCATTTAAGAAATTGTGGAAAATTTTCAACTCTTGTGTTTGCTGACCATTCAAGTGGAAAATTATCCAAATCAACACTTAAAATCTTAAATGCCGCAAAACTATTGAACCAATAGATCTCTTTATTAGTAGCTAGCAATGATGCCAGTTCTGTGGTTGATTAAATCAAATCATCAATACCCAGCAATGTTGTACACCAAGTACTAGTGGCACAACATGACTCATTTAAAGCACCTTAGGCAGATTTATTAGGCAATTTGGTTAAACAGTTGATTGATTAACATGGATTCACTAATTTTGTCACAAGCACCTCTACATTAGCAAAAGACTTTTTACCTAGAGTTGCTGTTAAATATGCAGCCCAACCTATAACAGATGTTATAGCTATAAATAATGAAGTATTTTTCAGACCTGTGTATGCAGGAAATGCAATTGCTTAAGTCAAATCAAATGATAAAGTCAAATTCATATCCTTTAGACCAACAAATTTTGAAGAAGTAGATTATAATTAATAATTAGATTCAATAAGTTGGTGAAAAAGTGTCAAATATTGTATAGGTGAAAGTGGAAAATACAAAATAAATGATTGAACATGTCTCTGATGAATTAGTATAAAGTGATAAACCAGAATTGACTACTGCTAAATTTGTATCTCTATTTTTTAATAATAGATTGTATCAGGAGGAAGAGCCTTGGGAAGCAAAGAAAATTTCTAAATTTTGGATGAATTAGCAAATGCTTTAGGCAATACAGCTATTGGTGCATCTAGAGCAGCCGTTGATGCAGGATATGCTGCAAATGATTAATAAGTTGGACAAACAGGTAAAGTGGTTGCCCCTGAATTATACATTGCAGTAGGTATATCTGGAGCTATTCAGCATTTGGCAGGAATGAAAGATTCAAAAGTGATTGTAGCTATCAATAAAGGTATTTTTAAATGAAATCAACTTTATAGATTAAGAAGCTCCAATTGTAAGTGTAGCTGATTATACAATTGTTGATGACTTGTTTAAAGTAGTGCCAGAGTTAACAAAGAAAATAAAAGAAATNTAATTATATTGTTGATTGAATTCATAAAATTTATATCTATTTTTAAGGGTTATAGGTATTCAATATTATAATACATAAAATTAAATATTGAAACAAAACATTAAAAATTAATACATAAATTAATATGATGATGAATCATTTAAGAAATTGTGGAAAATTTTCAACTCTTGTGTTTGCTGACCATTCAAGTGGAAAATTATCCAAATCAACACTTAAAATCTTAAATGCCGCAAAACTATTGAACCAATAGATCTCTTTATTAGTAGCTAGCAATGATGCCAGTTCTGTGGTTGATTAAATCAAATCATCAATACCCAGCAATGTTGTACACCAAGTACTAGTGGCACAACATGACTCATTTAAAGCACCTTAGGCAGATTTATTAGGCAATTTGGTTAAACAGTTGATTGATTAACATGGATTCACTAATTTTGTCACAAGCACCTCTACATTAGCAAAAGACTTTTTACCTAGAGTTGCTGTTAAATATGCAGCCCAACCTATAACAGATGTTATAGCTATAAATAATGAAGTATTTTTCAGACCTGTGTATGCAGGAAATGCAATTGCTTAAGTCAAATCAAATGATAAAGTCAAATTCATATCCTTTAGACCAACAAATTTTGAAGAAGTAGATTATAATTAATAATTAGATTCAATAAGTTGGTGAAAAAGTGTCAAATATTGTATAGGTGAAAGTGGAAAATACAAAATAAATGATTGAACATGTCTCTGATGAATTAGTATAAAGTGATAAACCAGAATTGACTACTGCTAAATTTGTATCTCTATTTTTTAATAATAGATTGTATCAGGAGGAAGAGCCTTGGGAAGCAAAGAAAATTTCTAAATTTTGGATGAATTAGCAAATGCTTTAGGCAATACAGCTATTGGTGCATCTAGAGCAGCCGTTGATGCAGGATATGCTGCAAATGATTAATAAGTTGGACAAACAGGTAAAGTGGTTGCCCCTGAATTATACATTGCAGTAGGTATATCTGGAGCTATTCAGCATTTGGCAGGAATGAAAGATTCAAAAGTGATTGTAGCTATCAATAAAGGTATTTTTAAATGAAATCAACTTTATAGATTAAGAAGCTCCAATTGTAAGTGTAGCTGATTATACAATTGTTGATGACTTGTTTAAAGTAGTGCCAGAGTTAACAAAGAAAATAAAAGAAATTAAATAATGATATAAATGACGTAATTATATAAATAATAATAATGAATAAATACATAATATTGTTGATACTTTGCAGTATATGCTTTAGTTCAAGTTTATCTTAGTAAGAGAAATTCTTTTGCAAATAATGTCATAAATTTGTTCATACAATATAAAAGGTAGAACATTTTTGGGATAAATCAATTGTATGGTTTTTGGAACTTGTTGCAGAAGGATATTGTTCTTATGCTAAAATTGAAAAGCATTCAGTTTGTAAAGGAGCAATTCATGAAATGACACCTGTAATTTTTGAAGGAATCTAAAAAAGATTTTTAGATGAAGATTTCATTTGTCCATTAATTAGATGGTGTCCTAAAGTTTATGAAGAATTAAAATTAGAAGATTATGTTTCTAATATTTTAAAAGATAAACCATTAAATACATAATGGCCAGAAATAGATGGAACTGATACTATTGAAATTATACATGTTAGTGATATTCATACAGACTTACTTTATAAAGAAGGAACTTTGCCTAAATGCAATGAACCATTATGCTGCAGAGAAGAATTTAAGGCGAAAGAAAATGATCCAAAGGCAGGATATTGGGGAAGTGCTGCAGTTTGTGATTTACCAGAGAGAACTTTTGAGTAATTTGTAAATTTCTTGAAAACAGATGTAATTAATCCAAATAAAAAAACATTCTTATTTTGGACGGGAGATAATGTTCAACATGATGTTTGGAAATAAGGAAGAGAATATAATATAAAAAATTCAAGAAGAATCACCGAAATATTCACTAAAGGGGATTTAGGCATTACATTCATTCCATAAATCGGAAATCATGAAGCATTTCCTGTGAATCAATATGATTACATGACTGAAAAAGATAGCAATTTAAGAGTTGAATTTTCTAATATGTGGAGAGATTGGCTTGGAGATGAAACTGCAGAGTTTTTCAAACAAAATGGATTTTATGCGAAAGAATTTGATAATTTTAAGGTTATTGCATTTGATTCACAAATTTGTAATCCTGATAATTGGTATCTACTTAAAGACCCAACAGATCCAACAGGATTTTTATAATGGGCAGAATAAGAATTAAAAGAATCAGAATTGAAAGAGCAAGCTGTTTATTTCACTGCTCATATTTATACATCAAGCTGTCTTGTTCCATGGGCTAGAAGATTTAATGCTTTAGTTGAAAGATATGCTTACATAGTTAGAGGATAAATTTATGGACATGCTCATGGAGAATTTTTCAATCTCTATAAAGACTAAAATGGAGAACCAATGAACATTGCTTATATAAGTTCTTCCTTAACTACATATACTTATAAATTACCAAGCTTTAGGAAGTTTATTGTAGATGCAAAAACGATGATTCCCTTAAATTATTATGAATATCGTCTAGACTTAGAGAAATATAATTAAATTGGAAAAGATGCTATTTTGAAATGGGATATTGCATTTGATTTTCTTTCTGAATATGGAGCCACAAGAATGTATCCAGCAGATTTGTTTGCCATAACAGAAAGATTATTTAAAGAACCTGAATTAGTTAAAAAGTTTGATTTTAATTCTAATTCTGGAACTGGTATAAGTGGAGATTCTGTAAAAATTATTAAATAATTTATAGGCTAGATATTTATATTGTAAACTAAATCACAGCATTAATGATGACCTACATTTATGTTTAGGAGAAAAACTAAAAAAAGATTGGACTGATTATATATCTCCAGGTTGGAGAAGGAGAATTGTTTATAAGTCAAAGAAAGAATCTAAGAAGTCTAAAAAGTAAAAGAAATAAAAGAAATAGCAATAATGATAAATAATAAAATAATATTTAAATATGCATGATACGTATTTTGAATAGTGTCAATATACTTTATACTTGCTCAGTATGTCTTATAATAATGTTAAGATAAATAAATAAAATATTAAGAAATTTTAATTTGTAGATATACCATTTGACTAAGAAGCTTAAGTAAATAATTGTTACTAAAAAATTTGCATATAAATAGGTTATACCAAATCAACTTTGATAAATATCTCAATTTTAATCAATTATAGAATCGAATAAAATCAACTAAAATAAGATTTAATATTATAATTGTTAATGATTATTTATTATAATGATATTCCAATATTAGTGTTCTTATCATAATCTTATTCCAATTAGGTTGTGAGATTAAAATCATCAGAAATCAAATTCATTCCAATCTTTCATGATTTAGTGTTATAAGTTTTGCGCTTTTTAAATTATTTATTAAAGATGTTGACTCTTTCCTAATATTAACAATTGATTATATTAATCTTTAAAACTACGCTAAATATTTTAGTTGTTAGGTTACTTTATATAATATATCATAAGATTAGTATAATGTTATTATAAAAATAATGAATAAATACATCATATTGTTGATACTTTGCAGTATATGTTTTAGTTCTAGTTTATCATAGTAAGAGAAATTCTTTTGCAAATAATGTCATAAATTTGTTCATACAATATAAAAGGTAGAACATTTTTGGGATAAATCAATTGTATGGTTTTTGGAACTTGTTGCAGAAGGATATTGTTCTTATGCTAAAATTGAAAAGCATTCAGTTTGTAAAGGAGCAATTCATGAAATGACACCTGTAATTTTTGAAGGAATCTAAAAAAGATTTTTAGATGAAGATTTCATTTGTCCATTAATTAGATGGTGTCCTAAAGTTTATGAAGAATTAAAATTAGAAGATTATGTTTCTAATATTTTAAAAGATAAACCATTAAACACATAATGGCCAGAAATAGATGGAACTGATACTATTGAAATTATACATGTAAGTGATATACATACGGACTTATTTTATAAAGAAGGAAGTGCTTAAAATTGTGATGAACCATTATGTTGTAGAGAAGGGTTTAAACTTAAAGATTATAATCCTAAAAAAGCAGGATATTGGGGAAGTGCTGCAGTTTGTGATTTACCAGAGAGAACTTTTGAGTAATTTGTAAATTTCTTGAAAACAGATGTAATTAATCCAAATAAAAAAACATTCTTATTTTGGACGGGAGATAATGTTCAACATGATGTTTGGAAATAAGGAAGAGAATATAATATTATTAATTCAAAAAGAATTACAGAAATTTTTAAAAAAGCTAATTTGGGTATACCAATAATACCCTAAGTTGGGAATCATGAAATGTTTCCAGTTGATCAATATGATTACATGACTGAAAAAGATAGCAATTTAAGAGTTGAATTTTCTAATATGTGGAGAGATTGGCTTGGAGATGAAACTGCAGAGTTTTTTAAAAAGAATGGATTTTATGCAAAAGAATTTGATAATCTTAAGGTTATTGCATTTGATTCACAAATTTGTAATCCTGATAATTGGTATCTACTTAAAGATCCTACTGATCCTACTGGATTCTTAGAATGGGCAGAATAAGAATTGAAAGACTCCGAATTAAAAGATCAAGCTGTGTATTTCACTGCTCATATTTTCACTTAAGAATGTATGGTGCCTTGGGCTAGAAGATTTAATGCATTAGTTGAAAGATATGCTTATATAGTTAGAGGATAAATATATGGACATGCTCATGGAGAATTTTATAATTTATACAAAGATCAAAATGGAAAACCAATGAATATTGCTTATATAAGTTCTTCATTAACTACTTATAATAATAAATTACCCAGTTTTAGGAAATTTATTGTAGATGCAAAAACGATGATTCCATTAAATTATTATGAATATCGTTTAAATTTGGATAAATACAATTATATTGGTAAGGATGCTATTTTAAAATGGGATATTGCATTTGATTTTCTTTCAGAATATGGAGTAACAAGAATGTATCCAGCAGATTTATATGCGATCACAGAAAGATTATTTACAGAACCTGAATTAGTCAAGAAATTTGATTTTAATTAGAATTCAGGCACTGGACTTAGTGGAGATACTGTATTAGTTTAATGTATATTTAGGCTTAATACTTATATTGTTTATTAAATAATAGTATTAAAGATGATCTAAAAGTTTGTAAAGGCGAAACTCTTACAAAAGATTGGACTTAATATATTTCACCAGGATGGAGAAAGAGAATTGATACTTCTGAAGAGAAAGAAGAGAAGAAATAGAAAAAATAATAGAAAAAATAAAAGAAATAGAAAAAATGATTTATATTATTATTATAATAATATTAAAATTATATTATGGATTTTGAAGAATAAGAAGATGAATAGATGAATGATAATTTATTTAATATATAAAAAGAAGAGGATTTGAAAATTGAATATTAATAATTGTAATAGAATGACTATGAAAATAAGACAGGTTCAAAATTATTGCAAAAAAATAAAGAATATTAGAAATCATTATTATAATATAAATAATATCTTGAAAGAAAAATTGCAAAGAAATAATAGCAAATATAATAATTAGATTAGATTTTGTAAACGATACCTAAATAGGAAGAAGAAATTAATTTTAAAGAAAAATGCTCAGCTTATTTAACTTTGGAAATATTGCATGATTCAAAATAAAGGAAAATATTTTCATATGCTGTTAATGATTTTGAAATGTTAAAGTAAGAGAATCCTCCTCATTATGTGAAATTAATTTAAGATTTAAAAAAAAAAGATTTAAAATTGAAGAAATTAGATTATACTTCTCCAAGATTTAGGTAATAATGTAAAAAGAAATAAAAATAACATATTTTGACATAAGCAATCTAACCAAAGAATACTTAAATAAGAGAACTAATTATAAAAGAAGTTGTAAATTGTTTACCAATAGAAGGGAATGAAATTTAATGGTCTTTATTACCAATTCATGCAACATAATTATTAAATATATATACAAGTGACTAAAATAGTATTGAAGCTATAGAAATTTATAGAGTTTGGCTTAAGAGATATCATTAATTGTACAACAATTAATTTACATTATAGGAAGATAATAAGCTTGTAGAATTAGTTTAAATGATAGGAGATAATTAATGGGCATATTTAGCCAAACTTATAACAACAAAGACTTCAATTTAATTGAGAGAAAGATGGTTCAAATTTTTAAATAAGAATATAAAAAGACAAAGATGGAAAATTTTGGAAGATCTAAAATTAATAATATTAGTAGACTATTTTGGTGTTGGATAATGGAATAAATTACATCAGTTTTTCAAAAATAGAACAGAAGTTTAAATAAGAGAAAGGTGGTGTAATGTATTAGATCCTGAGTTAGAAATAAGACCATGGACAGAAGAAGAAGATTAAGAACTATTGAGTTTGAATCAAAAATATGGAAATGCATGGAGTGTAGTCAGTTTAAAACTAAAAAGAACTGATAATGAATGTAGAAGAAGATTTTAATAAATCAAAAAGTGATTATGAATTTATATACTTAATATATTGTATGATTGATAATCCATTCGAATTTGAAAGAGATTCTAAAAAGTTTACTAATTCTTTGGAACATGATAGAAATGCAATTGAAGAAGAAGATGATAAATAATAGTAGACAAGATTAACTTAACTTTATATTGGTAAATCTGCAGGTAGATATGGATTATTGAGAAAATTAGAAGAGTAGAGTAAATTTATTTTATTTAGCTTAAGCTGAAAAATTAGCAGTAGAAAGAGATCTTGTATTCTCTTAGGATTTAAAAACAAAAAGTTATAATTTAAAACCAGATCCAATTTAATGTCATTTGAAACAGTTTAATCCAAGAATGCTTGAAAAAAATTATTAAGATTCTTTATAAAAAGCTTATAAAATAAAGAGTATTTTGAATGAAAAAAAAGAAACTCTTTAGGATTTTGTTGAAAAGAAAAGAGAAATTTGTTTAACAAATCTAAATATTTTAACAAAAAAAGAAGAAACAAATAGACTTGAAGATTTTATAAAAAATGAATAGGAATCATTGTAAGCCAGAAAATTATATTTTAAAAATGATTGTGAATTAGTAAAGAGATTTATGAGTGAAGTTAAATCTCAAGCAGATTAAGCTGCAATTTTAGCTGATAAAGAAATGAGAAGGAAGGAAGAAGTTAAAGTTGAAGTTGCTAGAATATTAGCCTAAATTGATAGATTGAAATTATTAAAAAGTAAACTTTAAGATGAATATGATAAATTAGATAAATATAGATAATTTTTAGAAAAAATTAAAGTAATTTTCAATTTCTATTATTTTAGTAACACTATAAAACCAAATTTTCAGAGTTAGAAAAAGATATTATATTGCCACAATCTATATCTAATTCTAAAAAGACCTTATTCTTAACAGGTGTTAATGTTTTAGAATCTGAAATAAGATCAAAGGAATAAATAGAGTCATTGCAATTTGAATATAAGCAAAATAAAATGGCTGATATTGTTATAGAGATTTTGGATGCAATTGAGGAAGGTAATCTAAGAAATATGTAAAATCAAAGAGATTCTGAAGAAGAAATAGAATAAAAAAGGAGGGAGGCTCAACGTTTAAAAGAAATCTTTGTTATTCATCAAAAGGAAAATGAATAAAGATTAAAAATATTAGAGAAGTAATTTGTTATGCATCAACAATATCAACAGGAATAAAAAAAATAAGAAAAAGTTGATTAAAATAAATTAGAATTTGCAGAAGGTGAAAATTTGGATATGGATTAAATAGGAAAACGAATAATAGAAATCTATGCAGATGTATCTAAAAAAGATCAAGATCCTTTAATCAAAAAACTAGGTATAGATTCAAAGTTGTTAAAAATTACTTTAAATGTAATTTATATTATTATTGATTAGTAACTTGAAAAAATTGTTTTAGAACTATCAGAATATAAATTGTAATTTATCATGAAATCTAAGTAAGATTATTTAGATGCAGAAAAGAAAATCAATCAAAAAAAAAAGTAAACTGTTTTATAATTCATTTATAGAGAATAAAGATAAACAATTTAGAAAGATGAAGAAAAGAAAAAGTAAATAATTGAGAGAAGAAGAAAGAAAGAAGAATAAATGGCTAACTTTTATAGAGGGAGAAAGGATATGCGCAGAAATTATCCTGAAGAAAAAGTAATTGTGGAATAGGTTGTAGAAGACAATGGTGAAAATGACGATGAAAAATATTTGTAAGAGAATTATGAACTTGTCTATGTACCATCATAAAAAACTGATAATATTTCATCATCATAATAAGTATAATAATAATAATGAACTAATTTTTGGATATGTTAGATTTGTTAATTCTAAACAGTGCATCTACTTAAGACTTTAAAATTTCATCATCAGAATAATCAAAATATGCTAAAAAATATTGAATTAAATTATAAAAGATAACTTTTAATTCACCTGAAATAAGAAGATTGAATAATAGATTTAGTTGATAAAAGAACTTTAGTATAATTAAATATTGAATAAAAAGGAGGTTGAATATATTGGATAATATTTATGTCATCATAAAATTGATTAAATTTATGGATGAAATAATTAATTATTATTTTAACAGGAAATTTTAATATTATTTATAAATAAGATATTCGAAGAAGGGTGTCTTAAGTATATGTTAAAATTAATAAATATCATAAAATCTTATACATATAATTATGAATTATCATTTAGAAAACCTAAATTCATTATTAAAAATAATAATAAAAAGGAGGAGGTTCATGATAACAATATTAGAGATACGATGTAAAATCAATGGATTGAATGATAAATACAAATATAAATTGATAGTATAAAATAGCAATAATAAATAATTAGTATTAATGAATTATTTTGAGAATATAAAGTAAAGAGTTTAAAATCTGAAATAATTATTTAATATAATTTTTATTTAATAAATGATGTCTATTGGGTAATTATGATATTCCCTTGATTATTAAACAATCTTATCTCTGATAATCATATATATATATATTTATTCAAAAATCATCATCGATATCTTTAATAATATCAGTTCGAGCACGTCCTCCTTAAACTATAAATTTATAGTAATTATTTTACATGTTTGATATTTCACATCATTGAGATTATCAAATGCAGCATCTCCAAATAATAAGATTTAAGACTCTTCAACAGTATGCTTAATGTAGTCATTTAGAATGTTTTAGATTAGTTCCCAATCAGGGCAAAGTTGTTTAGATAAGTTTGAACAACTTTTACACCTTTAATTAAATTATATTTCATTTGTGCATTTACAGAAATCTTTAAATTGAATCTCAACATTCAAATCAGCAGGAAATCTATCATCTTTTTGTAATTTGGAAGGATCTAAATCTTCATTCTTTAAAATCAATTTGCTTATTCATTTAATATTATTTTACTTGTCTTCAATAAAGGCAGTATTAAAAGAAACTCGAAACATTGGTTCTACTTCAAAATGGCCTCATTATTGTTTTTTATAATAATACCATTATGATTAAATTTAATCATTATGTCTCCAATTGCCAAAAAAGGCTTGCCTATATTAATTCTAATTAATTCGATATCTTTCAACATTAAATCTTTTGCTTTCTTTTAATCTTTATACTAAGATCACATAAATAATACTTCTAATTTATCAGTATATTTTAAAGTTTTGCAAGACTTTTCATAAGTATAAATTTCTAAAAATGGTTTACATTATTTATCTTGAATATCTGGTATACCATGAATAACTATAGAAGTTAAGTATTTGATAGGTGGATATATATTTCTTTAGAATAATATTCTAATTATTAACAGATAATGTTAACTTTTCAAAGTATTTCACATATCTCAATTAAGTTGGCATAGTAATACCACCTCCTTTTAAATGTTTCTATTTGTCATAATAAAACAATGCTTCTTCAGCATTAGAAAAGCGACCACTGTATAATAGATAACAACAAATTGCAGTTCCAGTTCTTCCAATTCCGTTAATACAATGCACAATAATTACATTTGATAATTTTGCTTAGAATAGATTCTTAAAATACATGATAAAAAATCATCAATATGTTTACACAACATAAACAAATATCCTAAATTAGGTGTAGATTTCTCTTCCCATGGCTAAAATAATAAGGGCTATCATATACAAAAGTATAAATTTTTCCTTTGAATTTTGTATGATCATATTGTATCCCACTTAAATTATAAATCTGATAATCATTATGGTGACGTTATTACAAATATTATGCAACCTAATAATAATATAAACTAATCCTACATCATCTATATTATTTTTTTGTCCTGAATTCCTATCATTTGGGAAGGACATTGCAAGAATTCTAGGACATATATAAGTAATATCAAGCAAATCAGAGGAGATAATAGTAGACTTTTTGTTTTTTTAAGTTGTCTTATTTGATTTTATATTCATATTATTATAAATAATAACTGTTAATAGTGTATTCAGTATTAACTATTGTAATATAATAAAGTCAAACATTTAATATATGTTTAATTAACTTAAAATTTATATATTATATATATTATTCAAAAGTGTATCAATTTTAGAGTAATAATTGAGAGATTAAAAATATTGTTATTTATTGAATAAAAAAACGTTGATGATAAGAATATATCTTAAAATTTATATCAAATGTAGATTCAATCATAAAATATGAATTTATGTCACAATTATTAAATATTTTTTATGCTTATTCTAATTTTCCTAAATTTTATAATAGGCATCTTGTGTGTGAATAGAAATGAAAGCAAAGTAATATTGACTGATTTGTAATATTATGTTTAAATGTTAGCTACAATAAAAATTCGCCAGTTTATGTGATAGCTCCTTATTATGAATCATTTACTATTGACTTATTTAATTCTAAAGATGCCTTAGGAAACACAAGCTTTAGTAATGTAAATTCATCAAACTAAAATTTGACATATAAAGTCACTTCTTTTATAGAAACTACATCAGAATCTATAGAGTAAAATGTTGATGCATCTTAGGTCAGCATTTTGTCCAATTGATGAATGGGGGCCTTTATATCAACCTGCTCGTTTCTATTTAAGTTTAAGTGCTATAGATCTTCTTTTTTATAATCAAACTGATGATAAAATAGTATAGGTCTAAACCAGATTGCATAAAGATTTGTAAGATTTGGATGAAAATTTTTAAAATATTTCTTGTTATTCTATATTTTAATTTAGAAAGGATAACTAATTTGGATTAGATTGTAATTTAGATAATAATGCTACAATACTAATTTTTGACTTAATATTTGATGAGCAAACATTAATTATAGTAAATTTTACCTACAATTCTTACTATTATTATTCATATGAAGATGAGGACAATTAGAATTTTCTAAAGAAATGTTAATTCAGAAAAACAGTCAATGCAAATATTCTTGATATCACTAATGACTTAAAATATGAATTTGTCCAATATTGTCCTAGTCTATTTAATTAAAAGGCAATCACAAACGAATTTTTAATAATTTATCGTGAAATAATAAATACTCAAAACAATAATATATTATTGTAAGCCTTTAAAGCAACCACTACAGATTTAGAATCTTGTGATTTGGATTAGAATTTAATGATTGAATAGATATTTGTAAACTCAATGATAAATGGTTATAATAATTAAACTTGGAATGTTGGATTTTTGTTTTAGTCATCTCCAAAAATATGTAAATGTAATATTTAAGAAGTGTATGCATCTCATTATAATATATTATGTAAGAGCACATTAATTGAGCGTATTTTATTTGATATTTTATAGTTTATCAGCCTAATTAAATAAGATAAGTACAAACTCTTAATGATGAGGTAATTCTTGTTACTGGTACTAATATGGCTATCCTTGTTATCTATTTAGAAAGATCCTATCAATCAGAGAATTACTTTACTATTAGTTATAAAGAGATTTTTGAACCTGGTTATCTATTAGTAGATGTTTCTATTACTACTCAATATTTGGCAGTAATTATGACTGATTCTCCATATGCTTAATAATTGTCTCCTTTCTATTCTAAACCAAACTTATATTGTTCTAAGTAAGCATCTGGAGAAACTAAAAATATTTTTAAGATTTTTTATTTAAATGGTGAATATAAAACTGTTTATTATGAATCAAACACATTTAATTAGTTTCAAAGTTTCTTTTAGAGTTTAAATTAAATAGATTTTGGAAATTTCATTCTATTATATAATTTTTTTAATTAGAAACTAAATGTTATTACATTATTTGAGAAGTACAATTATCATATTTATATATTAGATAGATGAATGTATCTTATTAATTAGGATAATAGAACATAACTTAAACTTATAATTAACAAATCAATCCAATTATTGTAAATTATGTTAATTATTATTAAGATTTCTTTTAATATTTCAGGTGGATATTTAGTATTTGATTAAGTTAATAATACTTATAATTATAATTTTGTAACATTCTCTAGAAATATCATTTTATGTTTTATTAAATTAGAAGATAGCAATTTTTAATTGATTGCTTAGATACATAAACTAGATGAGAAAGAATAATAATAATTATTATAATGTCCAATAAGCAAAGATATATATGTATTCTAAGAAATTATAAATTCTATAGACTTATTTGAAGGAGTATAACTATATATATATTTATTTTTTATAGATCATGGGTCCATTATTAAATTTTAATTATGTTCCTAATTATAATGTTAGCAAATATTATCCATATTATTAAAATCATAAGGCAATTATAAAATAAAATCAATTATTTCAGAAACACAATTATACAAGATTAGTTTTTAATGTATTAAGTGCTGTAAATAAAAATATATTTATAACTTCTAATATTTTTGGAATAGTTGAGATATTATTGACATACTCTAATAATTCATATAATTTAACAAAAACTTAAGCTATCATCATTAATAAAACATGTATCATAAATGCAAAACAATATGTATTCATTGTAAATTTCTATTCTTTTAGCAAAGTTTTGAAAAGTAATTCCCAATTGATATAGAAATATAATAATGTATTGAAGAGTAATATAGAAATTTAACTAAATACTTGGATTAAGTTGATTACTTTAAATAGTTTTAATATTTTGATATAGCAGTACAATATTAAGATTCTATGTAATAATATCATTATTATTTAATTAGTATTGTATTTTGTTAAAATAAAAATACATTTGATGGACATCAAAGATGTTAAAGTCTCAAAGAGATGATTAAATCAAATGATACTATCCTGTAAATTTACATTCTTCAAGGACCTATAAAAAATGAGAGAGTCTCTTACTTTTTAACTATATTATATAATTCTAGTTAAACTAAGTTATACTTCTATGTTTTAGATCTTTTTGTAAATCATAATTATAAAATTTTAGTTGCCAAGTGATATTATTCCAGATATAGAATACCATGAAATATATTGTTCCGATGTATTAAATACTCATAGTCAAATAATCTCTTTTAGATACACATATGTTAATTAATAAACCTTATTTATATTGTTTTCTGATGCAAGGATTGTTGTTTATACTCCTGGACCTACAAATTCAACAAAAGAAGTTAAATTTTATAATTTTACATCTTCACTAACTAATTATGTACTTAACATTATGGAATGTTAAAATAATAATTTCTTAGGATTTGAAATTACTAAATATTTCTAATCAAAATTAGCAAAATAATATTTGATTGTTTGGTGTTAAGAAAATTAAAATGGCAACTTTACACCTATTATTCTACAATACATAATTACTAATATTAATTAAATTAATTTTTGGAGAAAACTTCCTCATTATGATACTATATTAAGTAATAAATCAAAAATCTTGATATCTGGTTTAATATTATATGTTCCTGTTATTACAAAGAGTGTCTATAATGATTATTTTTAAAAGTATTACATATACAATTTGGAAGACTATACTGCTAGATCACTTGTTGAGAAAATTGAAATTGAGAAGAGGAAGAATGAATAAATTGTAAATAATATATAACTTTTATTCTAGATAACATATCCTATAAGCAACTTAATGAATTCATTATTAGCTGGATCCTCTATAAGTTTGACTTTAATTATCACAGAGAAGAAATTTGAAATATATTATTTGAATTAGAAGGCAGAATTTATCTTTCATCTCTAATAATAATTCATTCCAGATTATAATGATGCCCCATTTTTGTTGGTTATTGGTGTATTTTAATCATAAAAGACAAATGTTTTATATCGGTAATTACTAAAAAATAATATTAGAAATTACACTTTGGTGTACAATTTTTCAAGTACTTAGATATCTTTTGCCTATAATTATTCATCTACATACAAGGTGGAAATTAATTATGATTAATTAAAACCAACTGGAGGTTTTTATTAATACCTTTTTTTAGTTAATGTAAATACAATTATAAATTTGATAGTAATCTTTCTTCAATGGTCCAATTGCTTCTTATAATTATTAATCTAACCAAATAAATTTATCAATTATTCCATCTCCATATTTATAGATGAATAAATACTTAGGTAGTTATATGGAAGAAGTGTCTTATTTTGGAGAAGTTAATTAAATTATAGATGTAGGAGATGAAATATATAGAGGTTTATACAACTAAAATGTTGTAAATAGTAAGTTATATTTTAATATCTCTAGTTTCTTAATATAATGATTTAATAATTGTATTGACTGATTATTATGTGTTATTTTATTAAAAGAATTCTATTCCAGATGTAAATAGATCATGTATATATTCTGATTACACGTAAAATTAACAATAAAACAACTCAGGATTATGTTCAATAAGATTGATTCGTTTTCATTCATTTAAATAAAATAGTTCATTCTTATATTGTCAAATGTAATTAAATGGAGTAAATGTATTAATCATAGTATGTTAACAGAAATATTTTCATAAATTATATGATAAAATTTCATTTGAGGATAAAGAAAATATCTAATAATTTATATACATAGAATATTCCTATATCAGAATAAATAATTAAATTTCTATTCGATAATATATTGTTAATGATAGATAATTTTGCTATTGCTTTTTCAATGATTTATAACCTTTTTTTTATAACAATTAAATTTATTAAATGATTAAAACTGGATATTAAAAATTGAATTCATATTTTGGAATATATCAAATAGTAATTTCAGATAATAAAACTATACAATTTATTCAGTATAGTTCATATCCTAACTTTAATGATTCATAACCATTATAATATTCATAAGACTATGCTTTATCTATAATTGAATATTAATAGATTCAATATTTGTACTTAATACTTTTATAACCAAATAATATTTTTGTATTGGTTATTAATATGACAGAGGGTTTTCCTGTAAATGGGCCAGGAAAAAATTTGATTTTTTAAAAGAATGAAGAATATGTGAGATTTGAAAAGACAATTTTTATATAAAGTATTAATCATTTTCAACCACACATTGTAAATAATTCTTAAATGTATCAAACTATAGCAGTTGGTAATAACAATTAAATCTATGAAATTACTTTTAATGTTCTAACATTCTAAGCTAGATTGTAATATACTTTTTATTAATATTTGTTATGTCATCATAACTTTTTGTCACGTCCATAAATTGAACTTTAGTATTCAAATGATACAATATTCTATTTGGTTACATAATGTTTATCCAATTAATTTGAATATCAATCTATTTAAGTAGAAATGACATATTTACTAAATGAATTAAACACTAATATAGTTTATACATAACTTTTCATTAGTATAATTTAATAAATTATTATTAATTTAGGAAATTACAGTAAAAACTATTCAAGGCCAGTTGAAATATTAGAACCATATTTGGTAAATCCATAAGAAATGCATTTATAGAAAATTCAATTATATTTATCAATAGATACTTAAACTAATACATCTAAATCACATGTTTTGATAACAAACAATACATATTTTATGATTGATCTTATACTTTATACTGAAAATGGATATTATTTATATTATCCAATTTAATCAGCAAATGAAGATAGAGTAATTAAATAATATTAAATTTATTAGGATCATTCAATATACTTGAATATTACTGCATACAACTCTTATTCAAGTTGTTTAGCAGAATTTTAATTAGCATGGGTTTAATAAGATAGTTAAGTGAATAGTTTAGCCTGGTTTTATGCAATCTTATCTTTATTGTTGTTATTTATTTTGATTGTGATTATAGTTGTTGTTTATGGCTATTGTTAAAAATAGAGTCAGATTGGTAAATAAGATAAAGATCTTCCTTTGGAAAGAATAGGAGATGATGAAAGTGAATATGGTGTTGAATTATAGGGAGCTGCATATAATTAATTGATGTTAGGAGATGTGTTTAAAGATTTATTAAGAAGTAATAGAGGTAAAAAATAGACAGTCTCATATTTGGATGAATTATAAGATTGAATAATATATTAATATTAATTTATATATGGGTTGTGGATTGAAGAAGGAAAAGAAGGAGAGTAATAATGAAATTGCTTCTTTGAAACCCTTAATCAAATTCAAGATCACATTTTCTAATATCAAGATCAAAAATATACCTCTTTAAAAAGCTAAAGTTCATTTTTAAATTGCAAATTAAGAATGTTTCTCAACATAAATTTCTTAGAATAATCCTAACCCACATTGGAGATAAACATTTAGATCATTTCATGAAAGTGATTTGGAAACTTTAAAATAAGAATTCTTCAAAATTGTATGCTACTCTAATTTATAAAGAGTGTCTTTTGTGCTGAAAAAAATAAATGTTTTGCTTATGTTGTATAAAATATGTGGGAAGTTGCAAATGGTCCTATTCATTATGATTTGTTTCTAGAATCCACTAAGGCTAATTCATCTAGAATTACATTTGATTTGAGAATGGTATAAATGACAACGTTAAAAATTCAAAGCAAATAAGTAATGTGTGAACTTAAAGATTAATTGATGGAATAAGCATATAATTTTCAATTAAAAGTTAGAGTATCATATTCATAACTATAATTAAGTCTCATTAAGTAGATTACTATAGTGATTTCTCTCCTAATTACTTAAATCATTATTTATACCGTTAATCTTCAATTAAATAATATGGATACATAGATTCCAAAGAAAAACTAAGAAGTGAATCTGATGAATTTCAATTAGTTAGAGATATCTTTGATTCATCTATGGATGAAAACATTTAGGTGGATCTTAAGAGTTGTTATTTAAAAAAGAATGGACTTAAAAATGATTAAGATATAATCATTAAAAAATCTAAATCTAACAATTAACTCAATACAATGATACATCTTTCAACTAATCAATCCTAAACTAATAAATCATTGAATTCTAGAAGACCCTACTCAACAATGGATTTAATAACAAAAAAGGATATTTTATGGGAATTCAAAGTATAAGAAAATAATCCAATTATATCATTTGATATTTATGTTGATGAATTTTCTAGTTCTTCTTTTGAATTTATTCTTTGGGGAAGTTCTAAACCTAATGAAAAATCAGATAATGTAAGTGTAAGAAAAATTGGAAATTCCATTATATCTCTTAATAAATTTTTCAGTTAAAATGTAAATGTTTTGGCTGAATTAGACAGGATTTCACTTCAAGAAGTTAGATTTACAGATAAATTATGGATTCATGGTTAATGTGTTGGAAGAGTAAAAGCAGAATTCATTATAACAAAGGATACTTTTATTAGATAAATGTTAGGAGGATTTCGAACAGAAGAAGGTATTTAAAGATCTTCTTTACTTTATATAAAAAAGGATAAATATTCTGGACCATAGAGACCAAATATTAATTAAATTATATAAATTAATAACGAAATAGATGAATTAGCTGGAAGATTGAATCAAAAAAGTCTTTAACATAGAGAGAGAGTTAAAATTAATAAAGCAATTAATTAAATTATTGAAAAGTTAAGTACATTAATTAAAAACTAAGAATTATATGAAAATCTTGAGGAAATGATTGCTGCTTAATTGGTTTTTGTGGATTTAACAAAAAATTTATTAGAAAGTGCTGATTTGATTGATGAAGATTTGAGAGATCAATATTATGATGTTTTAATTACTTTATTAAATAGAGATGAATTCTTTATTAGTTATTTAGGTTTTGATAAAGATCTAAAAGAAGCATATCTATTAAGAAATGATCAAAATTATGTATCTAAAAATAAAAAGCTTATATAACAATTAAATTAGAAAATTAGAATAGGATTACATTATTAGAATTTCTTACATTAGACTTTTGAGAAAGTTGTATAGAAATTAAATTAATAAGGATAGAATGATAAAGAAGAATTATTTGTAAATACATTTTTAGTTATTGCTTTTTTTAGAATACCATAATTCTAAAATTTAGTTATTGACATATTAAAAGAAGATTAACGTTTACTAAATGAGGAATTTGAAAAAGATTTTGGAATAAATTGCATTGATAATACATTCTCTGCTGAATGGGATAAGAATTTTTATGATTATTTACAAAGTGATCCTAGACATTAAGAACATAAAAAGTAATTATAAGGTATACTTAATACTATTGATTGGAAGAATATAATACTTACAAGTAGAGTATTTTTGAAATGGTTCTAATTAATGTTGAATCATTATAAGAAAGCAAAACATCCATATGATATGAGTTTAACATGGTCAGGTTTTCCTGGTTATTTAATTTTAATAAAATATTTATTATTAGAGATTAAATATTCAAATGAATATCCATATCCAGAAACTATTAAACATGCTTCATTATGTATTTTAGAAAATGAAAATATGCTTAATTATTTAGTAATTGTTATATTTCATAAAACTAAACTTTATGATGGAATTGCAGTATTTTATACACTTGATATGATTAATGATTGGTTTCACATAATAAAAAAATAAAATAAGAAGATTCCAACAGATTTTAATTATTAATTTCTTATGAAAGGATTATTCATGATTTTTGATGGTTAACATGCTTCATCAATTAGTAAAGCACTCTAATTGATATTTAATATATTTCCATAAATGCCTATAGAAATCTAAAAAGAAATTAGTGATCATATATTTGATAATTGTTTTTTCAAGTTTTTTATGTTTTGGAGTAAATTAGTTAGATTCGTTTTTCAACACTTTTTAATATATAGAATATAACATAGACTTCGAAATTATAGATAGGAAAGTATAAGAGATATATATAAGGAATTTGAATGCATAAAATTATAAAAATAAAAGTATACTGTTGAAGAAAAGGCTAAATTGTTGAATCATCTCATTTACATTAGATATTCATAAATGATTGAATTAGTATTGAAAATTAAAAGAAAGATTGCATAACATAATTTGTAATAGGAAAGCCAATTTTAATTGTAATTAGAGGCAAAATCTCTAAAATTAAAGTTGATGAAGAAGAAATAGTAATAAAAGAAATAATATTTAAAAAGAATGGAATCTCCAAGACATGATTAAATTGATATTTCATTTGAAAAATAATAGAGATCTAATATTAGTTTAACATTTAGTTTAAATGATCCTTTTTATAGTTCTGATATAAGAGAAGATGAAAAGTCAATTGATTAATCTCATGAAAATGCTAAAGAAAATAATATGTCAAATTATGATTAAAATGAAATATACTTATTTGATAGAAGTATTAGTTCAATAATAAATTTAAATGATTTATTGGCTGATATTGATTAAGATAAAAAGATTAATGAAAAAAGAAAATCAAGACATTCTAATAGAAATAATTCAGTAGAATTAAATTCAGAAAAGAGTTAAAAAAGTAGAAGAGATGATAATGAAAATCCAAAAAAATTAAAAATTTATCATCGTATAAGCAAATAAGAAAATATTAAAAAATCATTTACAAAAGAACTTTTATCATATTTATTTCCAGCCATACAAGAATGGCAAGAATCATAAGCAAATTATAAAAGATGGTTTTTAAAGAGTTAAGCATTGATAAAAAAATAATTTAAATAAGATTAATAGGAATAATAATTGATGGATATAGACCCACCTGAAATAAACTTATATGTACCTAAAGATGAAACAGAAAATGAAAATGTCTATACAGATCATTGACTAAATTAATTATGTTAAATCTAATTTTTGATATTACATATTTCAATTAATAAAACACTAAATATATCATGAATACTAATATACATCTTTTCATATTTAATAATATTCATAATGAATTGAATAAACCTTATATATTTATAGAATTGCATAAACAAATGTATATGAAAATGATTGTAACATAATTATTATGAAGATTATATATATAAATATAATCAATTTTTCTTTAATAACAAACTTTATATCATTCCCTTTTCTTACATATACTTATAGATTAATTATTTTAAAACACTTTTATCTACTATAGTAAATAATAATAATTCATTCCTTTTATCAAATGCTTAAGTTGCCATCAAAGTTTAAAATTTAGATGATTTTACTTTAATTTTTAATACTCTCCATTTTCTTATATATAAATTCTTAATTTCTTTATAATAGTTATTTACAATTACACTTTATACCTTACTAACAATTTTATAAATGAAAATACATATCTAGATATGGTGATTTCGCTATTTCTTCTTCAATATGATAGTTAATTATAGTCTTTTACATTTAAACTTTAATCTATTTTACTTCTAAAGTTAAGAAATAATCATGATAAATTACTTTCCTAATCTTCTTTTTTTATATCCATATAAATTTAATTCCAATATTTATTCCATAACATGATAATTCTATTGACATATGCTTAAACCTTCTTTCTGTATATTCTATAAACTTCTATGATCTTCCTCATTCTTCTTTTAAATTAATAGGTTTTTTAAAATATCTCACCAATTTATCCATAACTCATCATAAAAGTATGTATTATTCTTTTTGCTTTCTTTTTAGCCCCATTTTCTTTAACCTTAGATAACATTCTTAATATCAAAAGTCCTTGAAACAATGTTCTTTGAAATATATCTTTCCCAGATTTTTATAACATCCTTTATAAAACTTATCTAACTCTATATTGCCTTCTTTTCTTTATGGATTATTTAAATTAAAAAATTATATTATCCTAAAAATAATAAGATCTTTATTTACATAATATCTCTTTTTAATAATGGATACCATATGAATGAAATATAGATTCTGTAACCATAATTTTTATTGAAATTTTATAAAGTTATCAATATTATTTCTATAAAGAATAATTTCTTTTAAAATCTTTTTCTTTTCTTAAAACTCAAATCTTTCTTTTAAAGTTTCCTTCTTTTCCTCAAATATTTATCTTTTTTTGTGTAAAGTCTCTGATATCTTTCTAGCAGATTAAACTCTTCTTAAATTTTATTAAAGTTTAATTTTTTCAGGTTAATATTATTCAATATTCTTATTAAGTGATATCATATCTTTAGATGGTTTTCTTGTAAAAAAAAATTAAGATGATCTTGTGAATTGATAACCTGTAGAAGGTCTTAATTTGGATTCAGTTTCCATTTTTTATTATTATTATGGTTTAATACCAAATGAAGCCTTTGCATATATTGTAGTAGCTTATTAAGAAAATATTGCCAAATATAAACAACGTTATGAGAAAAGTACTTATTCACCCTATTCTGTATATCTAAGAATTTGTTTTCTCTCAAAAGATTCTTCATTATTAAATCTGTTTGGAGTTATGGTATGACTTGAGATGTAAAATTTCATTTTGGCTTAATCTGTGAATTAAAAATCTACTATTTATCAAGATTTGTACAAATCACAAGAGGCTTTTTGTGACCAAATAATGGTACTTCAATATAATGGAATTGACAAAGATCTAGTTAAATGACATTAGTTAAACGCACATCTAAAATGGCTCTTTCTTTATGAATATATTGAATATCAGTTTATTTACGCTATGTGTTCATTAATGTAGGTGTAGACAAAGCTAGATTATCACAAAATATTTGTTTAATTTTGCGTTCTTCAAGTTTTTGTATCATTTAGAAATTTTCATCATACTTCTCATAATTTTAATTCATTAATATTAATAAATAATAATAATTAAATTAAATAAGTATAGTCGTTTCATTTATTAATTTGTATTTATTTTTTTATTGATTATTGTGCTTATAGTTGATCTATTAATTATTTATTGAATTCTGAAGACTTTATAAATAGATTCAGTTTTAGTTTTCTTGAATACTTTATATTATATTAAGAATAATTAATATTATTATTCAAAATAAGTAATTATAATCTTATTAAATTGATTATAAGTTTTTGATATATATTAATAATCTGCCATTTCATCATATTTCAAATTTCTTGAATATTTAATATACTGATAAAATTGTTTTGGGGTTCTAGTTTCACATGAAGGAACCAATTCTCTATACCTAATTATCTTTTGATTGATGTATATCTTAAATACTTTGTTATCCTTATGAGGGATATAAGTATCTTTTATCAACTACTTTTTAGCAAGTCCATACTAATATACTCTATTCTTATAAGCTATATTTAATAAGAAATTATCATGTTTGATATCTCTATGAAGAAAATGTTTTTGATGTTAAGTATTCTCTATGCATTCAAGCATTTAGAATGCTATTAAAGATAGAATAAATGATTATGATCTGTAAATATGTCTTTAAGATTCTTTATAAGTAATTCTATCACAAGAAAGTTAAAATTATCTTATCAAAAATAAAAATAATATTTTGGTATATCAATTATTGCTAGATTGTTTATAGACCAGTGTAATTTAGACTCAAAAATTAACTAAGTATATTTTGTGTCTGGAAATTCAATCTTAATTTGCATAATCATATTCATAGGTATTATTGGTTTTACTTATTTTACAGTTTTTAATCCTATATAATTTTATTTTTTATTTAATTTACTTTTAAGTATCCTTCAATTAATAAATTATATAAAATGCACATCATTCATTATCAAATTAAAATCTAATTGAATATACTTTTAACTTTATGTTTTCTTATAGACTAATAATATAAATATATATAAGCCAAATTAAAGTATCTCAGATTGATAATAGAATTGATTGAATATAACTGTAATCAATTTACAAAACAATAGTTTCAATCAGAATTTTCTATTCGATGCTATTAAAACCTTTATATAAAAAAGGATTTGAAATTAATATCGTAAACGATGATAAAATTATATATTAGATAAAATATTTGATTTAAAGAATAAAAAAAGATTTTAATAAAAACTTAATTGATGTAATTCATAAGATAAATATTCTAATAAATAAATGATTTTTTTGGATTTAAATTATTTCAATAGAAATATGAATATGTCTATTTATAATGATATTTATAATTTTAATGTAAATATATGAATAAAATATATTTATTAATTGTAGAAATGTTAATATAAATTAATTTTATAATAAATACAAGATATAAAATGAAAAGATTATCCACTATAATTTAAACTAATTATTTAACAAATTAAAAAATTACTATTTCAAGTTATGTTTAATCGTTTTTTATCATAATAATAAATACAGTAAATTACATCATTACATTTAAGTATAAATATAATATGCATATATTTTGACTACTGTGTATTATGAATATTTAGAATAATAATATATTCATATAAGAAAATATTAATAGATTATGTATGCATAATTTCCACTACTACTATTTTAAATTAATATGGAATATATTATAACTCATTATTTTAATGGGATTGGAACAAGAAAAGCATAGTAATGATGAAAGTTGTAATAAAGATTGAAAGTGGATATAAAAATTTTAAAATCTCATGATAATTATTTTGTAATTAAGACTCAAATATAATAGAAATATTATGATAAATAATTTAATTTTGTATATGATTAGTAAATTTTTAGCAACACTATATATATATATATATATATATGAACAGGGAATTAAGAGTTAAGTTGAATATGAGGATGATTGTTAGATTTTTATATTTATTTATTAATTTGATATTGTATTTGATTAGATGCATTATTTCTTTAAGAAATTTAATGAAGAATAATTAAATTGTATATATATAGATTTTAATTTGCTGGAGATAATAATAAAAAAATATTATTAATAAAAATGAGATTTTTATATTGCGATTCAAATGTAACTCCTGAGATGAAAGAAAAAATAAAAAAATTATTATTTGAGAACTCAGATAAATTAAATCACTAAAATCCAGCACTCTTTTTATAACAACTACTTAATAAAAATTTTGAAAAACTATGGTAAAATGATTATTTAGTATTTACATTAGGTTTGTTTATCTGGTTTATAGTCCTGTGGAATTAGAATATTAAGTTAGATCAAACACTTCAATATGTAATTAATAAATTGATATTTGTAGTAATTGATATAGAAATTGAAACAACTAGATATATTTTGGCATAATTTGAAGAAGTCAGCATAGGAACATTCTCTAAGGATAAGTTCATCAAAACATGTCAACAAATTGAAAAGTATATTCAATAGTAATCGCATGACTTGAATTCTGTTCTACTTGAATCATTAAAATCTTTGGAATATCATTTTGGACCAAGTTGTCATATGATCCTAGTTAAATGTAATGAATAAGAAACATAACTATAATTTAATGGTCCTAATTAGAATCAATATATATTTAAAATACAAATAAGTGCTTTAGAATCAATTTAAGGAGGCATATTTTACATTCCTTTAGGTGCAGAAGAAGAGGATGGATTTATAGAATTTCACCATAGAAATATATCAGGAGAAGAGGAACTCGATAATAATGAATTAAAAGATGAAAATTAAATTTAAGATGAATATGAAGAACCAATGGATTTATAATTTTAAGTCATGTTGGATGCCAAAGAATTTAAATAATCAACTGATTAAGAAAAAGTTAGTTTTGATGAACTTGAAATCTAACCATTGAAAGTGCATTCATTTTCTATACTATTTTAAATTGTGATTTCACCGTTTCCTAAAGAAATAAGTATAAATATTCATAATATATTAGAGGATGATTTAAATGTATTATCTACTGGAAGTTCTTTGATGTCTAAAAATATGACCTTTGGTATTAATAGAGATTAACTATTCTTTTTCAATTTTCAACTTATGACAGGGAAAATGGAAACTCTTTATTCTCAAATGAAAATTAAAAGGAATATATTATATTAAATATCTCTAGTATATACTGAAACAGAAACATACAAGTAAAATTACTTATTCTATAAATCTATTTAGAGAAGTATCAATGTATATCAATGGAGCAATTGAAAATCAAATTAATTTATCATAATAATTAGAACCACCAAGAGGATTTTTTTGGATAGGATCTGAATAAGCCCTTAAATTATTTAAAGGAACACTAAAGGATATTGTATTTGTATCATAAGCCTTACATTAAAAACATGTTAAATCAATTTATGCTGAACTTTAAAGTGCATTAGCTCATAATTTTGACAGAAAAACAATGGATATTGTTGATGAAATATTGTAATAATTTAAAGAAGAAATTCCTATTGATTAAGATGAATCCAAATATACATAAACTTAAAGTTTGTTAAAATAATAATCTAAAACTCTAACTAAAACAAGTAATAAAAAATTATAAATACCTCCACATCTCTAAAGAAGTTATCATGTATTTGAAGAAATTGATAAAAAGAAAGTTTAATAGTTGGAATAACCACATTAAAAAACTATTTAAGATTTTGCAGGTATGTTTTTTATATTAATTTTTAAGATAGATTAAAATAACTTTTTGAATAAAATGAAATATTATAGCATAAATGTCATGAATTGAGTTTGAACTTCTATTGGGTGTTTACTACTGTATAATAATTAGCACCACCATTAGAAGAAAATGCAAGTCCCAAACTTCAATTTGAATATATTCATTAAGAATTATTTAGAGAAAGGTAATTAATATTAAATATGAATTATATTAGATTTGAAACCTATCCATATTATGCTATTGAATTTGATAGATTTTGCAAAGTTGTATAACATATTGGAATTTAATTATCACGTGATGATATTTATCAATTAGCTGAAATTACTGATTCTCTAAGGGAAAATAAAAAATTTGGTTATTATTTAATTTATGATCGATTACTATTATCTATTAGATAGGCTGCTTTAACTTAAGAGGAAATTGAAGAAGTAAAGAGTTAATATAATACTGATGAAAAAGAAGCAGATTAAGATTTAGTTATTTATGCAGATGGAATATAAAGATTTAAACAACAACGATATGAGTCTAATGTTAGTTTCTTTGATTAACTTATAAAATTAGTAGGATCTGAGAATGAAGCCTTCAAATATAATATTAAATATCTCTTAGCATATTTTGTAAATAATGATGAATTTGTTTAAAAATTAACAGCAGTCTATATTCATAAAGAAACAGAATAAGAAGTAGAAATTGAAGGAATTGAACTATTTTCTTATGATCAAGATAAGATATTTCAATAAAAACTAAATATATCTGAGGAAACATAACCTAAGTATTTCAGAGTTCATTACAATGGTGAGAATATGGCTATGATATCATTTAAAACACATGAAACTGAAGAAACATTTAAAATTGATAAAACATTTTCATATAAAGAAGGATAAGATGCAACAGGTTAATTACAGACTTATGCTTTTGAATAATTAAGATTGGCAGGATTTAGATTTTAAATAGTATAGAAAGATGAGTATTCACAAATAATAAGGTTAGAAGCAGAATATTTAAAAAAAGATCCAAAAGTAGAAGAACAAAAAAGAAATTAACCAGAAACATTGCCAGTATTACCAGAAAATTGGAATTAAGGGAAATTCTAACTTATCATAAATAGATGTTCTGATTGTGAAAAACATAAGACAACTACATGGCATAATGAAGCTGATTTTGCCCTTAAATTTAATGAAATTGGATAAATATTAAAAGAGTTATTCCCAAATATAGAAGTAATAGGAAATTGGGATAAAACATAATAATTAGAGCATTTTGATGTTTATATTAGAGGAGTAGGTTAATTAGGTTAAATGGATAAAGAAGGTAGAGTATTTTTGTTTAGAAAAAATGAAAAGTTGTCAAAATTTTTGGATTGCTTCTTAAAGAGAATGTTAAAAGTGTATGATGATATAGTATTAATTGCTTAAGCCTATGGAGACACAAATCATATGGCAAGTCGATAAGAACAATTCTTAAAAACTAACAATTATTCTTAAAGATCTAAGATATCTCATGATCATCCATGCAATGTACCTGATAAATAAGAGAAATCAGAAAAAGGAGAAGCTTAATTAGCTGGTACAGATTTCATTTGTAAAAATTGGGGTTGTGGATAACCATTTAAATATGATTCTACTCCTAATGGAATAAAAACATGTAAACATCATCCTGGAAGATATGAATTTGGATCTAAACATGGATTATGGCCAGAATGTTGGACATGTTGTGGTAAAAAATGGGAAGCTGAAGGCTGTAAATTAGAATATCACAAAGGTGTTCCTGAAAAAGATTATTATAATATTTGTATTAATGTAGGTCCCAAAGATCCAAGAACTGGTTTTCCTGAAGGTACTTGTGGAATGAGATTTTAAGATGGTGACTCTTCAGAATGTAAATATAATTCAGGAATTCATCAATCTGCTAAATGGCCTGATCCAGCTGCTAAAGTTTATTTTGTTTAAAAAATACATATTGTATTTATTATATTTAAATATTAGAATCCTGCTTAAAAAGAAAAGGATGCATAGCCAAATAAAAATATTTAAGTTAGACCAGATGTATATAGACCAACTAAACCTTATAATGAATTTATTAATAAGGATAGATAGAAATTAATGAAACTAATTGAAACAGAGAAAGAATTAAGATCATGTACAAATTGGTCATGTGGAAAACAATATAGAGAGATTGAAAATAGAAAAAAGAATACATGTAGATCTCATCCAGGTGTATTTGATTTTGGACATACTGCTACTAAAATATAAGAAGCCATTGAAGAATATAAATAAGAAAAAGGATCAAAGATATTATGGAAACCTCAGTAAATAAGATTTTGATTTAAAATAGTTGGACTTGTTGTCGTAAATCTTGGAATGAACCTGGATGTCTATTAACAAAACACTCAGGACCTTTAGTTACTGAATATAAACCTAATAAATATTAATGGCCAGATCCAAAAGCATAAATATATTTTAAAAAGAAAGTATCAGAAAATTGGACAAAAATGCTTGAATAAAGTCATAGTTTGACACCTGAAACAGCAAGTTTGAAATATGATCTTTTATGTAAGACTTTAGGATCTGGAGGAGTAAATATAATTAATATATTTTTAGTAAATTTCTGTTTATAAATTACCTGAGTTATGTGATAAATTTGAACTTAATTTATGGGTATGTAGTGAAGATTTAGCATTTTAATTTAAATTTACAGATATTATGGAAGGTAGGGCTTAAGAATATTTGGCTGATACAAGTGGAAATATTGATAAACATAAATTTTTAGATTGGTGGTTTGCAGATGTCAATAGAATGTTAGAAATTTCATCAAAATGATATATTACACATATAAAATAAGAAATATTATATTAGATTGTTTCATTTTTATAAGAAAAATATTTCAATCTTTTCTATTACAAATTTAACTATTAAATTTAATTTTGATAAATATGAGTTCTAAACTTTAATATTTAATTATTGGATTTTCCTTTGGAGTTTTATCAACTACATATTATTTAGGAAATTAAAGTAAAGAGAAACTTGTATTAAAAGCAAAAGAATTAAAACAAAAGGGTATAGAATAAGTAATTATATAATTTAATTAGATTCATGATATTAAAAGTGATTTGAATGATATTAATGCAAAAGAATTTTTGATTGAAAAGAAAGAATAGATTTTAGAAAAAAGTAAAGACAGGTATATAAATTCTATTAATAGTATAGTTAAGAGTTTGCATAAAAAAAATGGAAAGATATTGAAGAGAAGGCTAAAAAAACAAAATAAAAAATGGGAAAAGAATTTGAAAAAATAAAAGAGAAATTTAAATAAGATTGATGGTATTATTATATTATTTATGTATTATAATTTAATTGATACACAATTTAAACACTTTATGGTATTATAATCAAAGTATATAAATTTAATAATTATAATCGTTAAAAAATGCATAACGCTGTGATTACTATACCTTAACATGGAAATGGCAGACTATATAAAACTTCAATTTGCAGACACTTTGAATTAGGTAACTGTTCAATTGGAGATAAATGTCAATTTGCACATGGTTAAAAAGAATTGAGAAATCCTAATGGTATTATCAAAAAATTATACTCTAGATCCAATATTAGGTAAAATACCAACAATTGATTCAAATATAGTTATCACAAATTATAAGAGTATTAATAATATTATTATATTACAGCTGTTTTATGCAAATATGATTAATAAGGATTTTGTAAGAATGGAGTAAATTGTCCATATGCTCATGGAACTAATGAAAAGAAATAAGCAAGATTAGCTCCTGTATAATTGAAACAATTATAAGAAAATAAAGAAAATGGTGATGATGAAAATGTTGTTAAATTTCTTAATTAATTGACTGATAAATTAATGAAAAATGATGCTTTCAAAAATGATAAGGTATATAAAATTACTAATTATGTATAAAGCAAGTCTTAGTTTAACTAAAATAAACTCAAACTATGATTGAAGAAAAGCATCATAGAGATGCAGCTGAATAGTTGTCATTAGTTTTATCTTCTCCATCTAGATCCTCAAAATAATAAAAAGCGTACGAAACAGTTTATAAATCTTTAACATTGAATTGAAATTATTAATAAAAATAATTATTTAGAAATATATTAATATTAACATTGAAATAATCTATATTAGATTAATTTATGTTGAAATTATTATAATAAAAAAAGTCTAATTATTTAAATTAATCTAAAATTACATAATATATATAAATAATATATTAACAATATCTTCAAAGAGATAAAAATTCTTTATTCTAGAGTAACTTCTCTACATCATCCATTTATTTTGCATCACCTTTAATCATTATTAAATTTAATATATCTGCTATTCTTTATTTCTAAGACATAATCTATTCTTGAGCTTCCATCAATTATTATTCACTTAATTCTGCTATATTCTTAATTATTATGAATTTATATTACTTTTTAAATTTCTAATTCCTTTGTTAAACTATCTATTCTTATTTTATCTTTATTTTACTCAAATTCTAAAATAAATAATTAATATTAATACTTAATGAAGTATTTTCTTATTTCAAATTTTCACTTTGATTATCCATATCATCTCCTCTGAAACTAAATCCTTTAAAATTATTTTCCTGTTAATGCATAGAATTTTTATTAGATTATCTAATATATATATATAATTCATACTGAAATGATTATTGCTACTCATTTTATGATTAACTTAAAATTTGTTTTAAGTTCTAATTATCAGTTTATAGTTTTAAAATTTCTTCTTAGAGATCATTAAATTTTTAATTGAATTTTTATTCTGCTTATTGCTTCTAATCTAATTCAGATTATAATTCATTTTCTAAAATTGAAATTTATTTTTTCATTTATTTTATACTTTCTTCTTAATCCAAAATTTCTAATTCTTTTTTTTTAATTACTTATTTATAACCATCAATAATATCTCCTATATTATCTTTATTATTTAAAGCTTATATTCTGATAACATCTTATTTCTTTTCTTCAAGTTAATCCTTTAATTTTGTTATTTCATCTTCTAAAGATTATATCATTTAATTTAAATTTCCAATTTATTTTTTAAAATTTGTATTTTCTTTTTCTATTTAATAATATTAGATTTTTAATTATTCTAATTCATCTTTTTAATGAACAAAATTCATACCTTAATTTTCTAATTATGTTTTCATTTAATTAATAGATTGAGTATCTGATTTAGAATTTATTTTATTTTAAGCATCTAAAGATTATTCAATTTAATTATTTTACTTTATTTCTGTTTTCATTTATAATGCTTCATTTTACAATTTATCTATTTCTTAATTAATCAAAAGTAAATTATTTTTTAGATTATAAATTTCTATTTAATTCTTTTCTTTCTCTTTTTGTAATTAAATAACATTATATTAACTCTATTCTAAATGAGTTTTAAGCATGTTATTATCTCTTTATAAAAACTCAAGTTCCTTTTTGATTATTTCTTAATTAAAATTAGATTAAGTACCCTATTCATTATTACCATTAATCAATTACTATTATTACAAAAATACAATTTATTATTAATACTACTAATTTTATTAAATTACTTATGTATATTCATCTTTCAATGAAGAATAAGTTTATGATAATAGAGAAAATTCTAAACATGAATTTTAATATTTATCCTTCAAATCTAAATATTTTTTCATTAATTCATCATACTTATCAGAATTATTTAATTAATTACTATTTAATAATTCTTCTTATTATTATGTTTTACTTCTTTATGATAATTATTATTATAATTCTTTTGGTTTTGGAGGACTTTTTGGAACATCTAAATTAACAACATTTTATTTGATTTTTTATTTGGAGATTTAAGGATCATGTAGAGATTTAACTAATTCATCAGAGTTTTAATATTATTGTGTGGGTGGTTAAATTTGACTATTGTACATAAATTAATAATCTTTAGAATCTTTTTATTCTACAAAGGATTGATAATGGAGAGATTTTTATTTGATACCTTTTTCAGATTAACTAATAATTTAATCTTCATTAGAACCATTTTTTAAATCATCAAATTAATTCTATTTTAATTTTTAATTTAATTTGGATGAATATTTTTTTTTATCTTCTTCTTTATTTTCATTATTCATTTATTATAATTATTTGTCTACTTTATTTAATTTTTCATTTATCATTCTTAATTCATAATCTTATTATCTTTAAGGATTCAGATTATTTACAGGACTTTAAAATTTCTTATTTACTTTTGTAGGAGTGCCAAATCTTTTAGGAGGTGAAACAACTCTAACTTAAGCATTTGATTTTCTTAAATTATCAGTCCAATTATAATTATAATCATCAACCATTATTATCTTTTATGAATGCTTTGGTTCTTTTAGTTTTCTTTCTTATTGATTTTTTAAGTATTCTTTATGATCTTTCCATTAAGAATACGTTACATGAGTAGTTCTCTTTTCATTTTCTTCTCCAATTCTTTTTGATTAAACCTATCTTTTAGGACTTTATCCTCCATTTCTTTGTGTATTCTAAGGACTATTACCTGAAAGATAAGGATTAAGAATTTTAGGGTTAATTTCTTAAGGTTTTTCTATGAATTACCATTCAAACATAAATGTTAATTGGGCTTCTTCATTCTATTCACTCTAAATAGATAATTTATCTGATAATGATTAGAATTTATTGTCAATATAAAAGTCTAAATCAAAGACAGCTTCTCCAAATTTACTTTAATTTTCAAAAAAGATCAATTTGAGCTTTCATAATAAATTAGACATACTTTTTTTTTGTTTTTTGGATCATAATGTGTTCTGATTTCAGCCTTTTCATAAATGTCTTATTGTTCATAACATTTACATTTAAGTTAACTATTTAACATGACTGCAGTAACAGCTACATTCAATCAAACATATTACAATCATTAAGTTGCATATGGCAATACATAATAGGTGAATCTATATAAAAATAAACAGTTTGCACCTCTATATTAATTTATAGCATCTATACTATATTTTATTATTTTATTATAATAATGTATTTCGTTATTTTTAATTTATCATATTAAATATATATATATATATTCATGTAATAATATATTAACAATTCATTATAGTTATTACTCATATAAGTAATTCTAATTAATGTAGCATTTCTTCACGGATCAAATCGATTTCTTTTTTTTGATAATAATTCCATGTTCTCAAAGAGTAAGGACCAATTCCATACAAATTGTCACATTAATAGTTTAAAAGAATCTTTTAAACATTAAAATTAGGAATTATTAACTCATCACAATATTTTAACTTTGAAGAGGAATTATTGTAAATTTTAATGATGGAATCATTATAATCTTAATGCAAAAACAGAATCTCTTTAGTTTCATGAGCAATAGTCATATCCAAAGGATTACTCTATAGTTCTTTATCAAAAAGCAATTAATTCTTTGATATATTCCAAAGTAAACATCTATTTGAATTCTACTTTGCATAAATGATATTATTAGAATTTCCAGGAGTAAACATGGCCTTTAAAGCCTACTATTCATTTTCTTAGAAACTGAATTGAGCAATGGTTGGATTTCTCATATCTAAGTGAATAAATCCATTTGTCATTGTCACTACAACATTATAATCATGAACATCAATGTGTTAAATATATTCAGATTTTGAATCTTATATTTATTTAAAACTTGGGAGTTGCTCAATAAAATCATCCTTAATTTAATCTTATTCTTCATCTAATTTAAAACTTGTTAAATTAAATAGATTTGGATCTTTAGGATTAAATTAAGGACTTTCAATTATTGTGGATCCAAATTTAGGTAACAAAGGTGATAATATTTAGTTTGCTTGAATACCATTTAATTATTGTTTCTACATTTATAATTAAAAACATTTTCTTTCGTTCATTCTTTCATCAAGTATCAACAATTCCTTAAATTAATAAATACAAATAACTTACATTATTATATCCTACATATATATTGTTTAATTATTATGTTATGAATGTTGGTTATGAATGTTCCTACATATTACAATTATATTAATTGTTTAATCCATAATAATGATAAGCTTGATTTTTAAATAAATTCCAACCCATAATATTACCTTAATCAGTACCAGTAATTAACATATCATTAGATATATTTTTATCACAAATACAAAATGATATAAATTTTGAATTCTTATCATTAATATTACATATTTTCTCACTAGAAAATGTATCATTTATTAATTCTAATCTTGTCAAATGAGTCCCATTATTTATTATTATTCCATTTTATTATTTTAAAGAAATGAAATTATTTTACATTTTTCTACTTTAAGCATAAGTTCCATCAAATGCTGAAAAATATTGGATGTTCTAAAATCATAATATTCATTTACTTTTCGAATTATCCTTAATTCATCAATCAATCTATTAACTTTCTTATTTATCTTAGGATCTAATTAATTTTCTTATCCTTCTTATGTTGTTGTTGTTAATCCCTAAATCCGAATATGAGATATAGATTTAGATGGTGATTCATCAGAAGATAAAATATTAATAGGCTTTTAATACTTTTATTTTGTCTTCTCTAAAAACTTCTCTAATTTCTAGATTTTCTTTAAACTTTCCTCAGTATATTTTGATTATATTATCAATGCTTCTGAAAATGTTGCTGGTTCCTTATATACAGAATTGTTATATTTGGTTCCACTTAAGAGTTATTTATTAACTGGTGTTTTAGAAAGTACTTCATCTTTCTCCTAATAATATATTATTTTAAATGCTTTACAATTTCTTAATAAGGAACTGCTAAATTCCTGGGTGTGTTAAACATAATATTCTATTCATTATAGACTGAATTTTTGTTGAGTTTTGCTGAAATTGTTTAAGCATGGGTGAAACTTTAAAATTGAAATGAATTTGGCATTGGTGATTCATCACAAGAGAATTCTGAAATAATCGAGGTTGTTGAAGACTTTGGTACATTTTGCTTAAATTTGACAGAATTGTTTTTCATTTTAATTTATCTATGATCAAAAACTTAACCTGAGCCTTTAGTTAAAATTGAACTGAAATAAGGCTTTTTTTCACTAAACAATTAATTAAGTAAAATTAAAAATTATTTAATATAAAAATTTTAAATATACTAGAAAAAGTTCTCTTCAATCAAAGTCTAATGTTAATCATTAAGTATAGATCAATATGAGTAATCATTTAAAGAAAGTCTTATTAATTGATCATTTTCATATTTAGTATTAAATTTAATTATATTTATATATATATATAATTAACATACAAATATATACATATTAATATAATTATTAACAACATTATACATTTGATTTAAAAATATTCATTCCATTGTATTGATTTGTTAAATATAATCAATTTTTTAAATAAATAATTTTTAATATGTTGCTTAGATTTATAACCACAACCCATCAATTAAATTGGGCATCACTCTATTATTTCACAAAACACACTAGACCCAAAGCATAACCTCATAGAGAAAAAACAAGAGCTAAAGCAATAAGTGATGATAAATCCGGAAAAATTGCTAAATCTGATTAAGAACAAGAATAAAAGCAATAACAAGAAAATCTCAAGAAAAAAATAGAATTAGAAAAATTAAGAGCATTATAACCAAAAATGCACACCTGGAGCTCATTTTATGAAACGCATATTCCTTAAACTAAAAAAATACCAAAAACTATTTACCTTTCTCTAAATGAATAAACTGAAGGAAGAAGAAAGCATTATAAAAAGTTTGTTTAACCTCCAGTTGATATTACTGAAGAATGCAATTAAAAATTTGAAATTAAATAGCATACTTATGAGGATCCTTTTGCTTAACCAAAAAGAGCTGGTTTGATTGCTGTTAAAGTAGGAATGACAGCTTAATGGGATAAATGGGGTTATAGACATGCATTAACAGTCTTATAATTAGATAATAATTAAGTTGTTTAAATAGTGAAGAATGATACATATACTGGTTTGTAGATTGGAGCAGGAGCTGTCAATATTAAAACTCTAAAAAAACCTTAGATAGGTCATTTCCTTAAAGCAAATGTAATCTAAAATTATAATAGTAGATACCTCCCAAAAAATATATAAAGGAATTCCCTATTACTCCTGAAAATGTACTACCAGTAGGCTTTATGTTGACTGCAAGACACTTTACTCCAGGCTAGTATATTGATATATAAGGTATTTCAACAGGAAAAGGTAAGAATAAAGTTGTGATTTATTCTGTTAGGATTTGGAGGTACAGTTAAAAGACATAATTTCAAAACACAACCTGCCACTCATGGTAATTCTCTATGTCATAGACAATTGGGAAGTACAGGTTAAAGACAAGATCCAGGAAGAGTATTTAAGGGAAAGAAAATGCCTGGTCATTTAGGTAATGATAAAGTTACATGTGAGGGGGTCTAAGTAATATATGATATCATTTTAATAAGATTTATAGAATAGATGCAGTTAGATAATTAATATACATAAAAGGTTCAGTTCCAGGTAAACCTGGTTCAATTGTTTATTTAAGGGATTCTTGGAAGGTATAAAAGAAAAATAAAGATCTACTTAACTTTCCAACTTTGGCTGTTGAAAATGGAAAAGAATATGCAAAGGAAATAGTAATGGAAGCTCCATTGGAAGATCCTGAATTGTAGGAAACTCATGAGAATGATTTTCCTAAAGCTGGAGAGGATGCAGAAGACTGAAATAAATAAAAAGAGTATAACAATATTAAATCAAAAATATAAATAACAATAAAGATTAAAATTTCATTTTTTATTTTTTAATTTTATACAAAGCTTCTTCTTATTTGATTCTATTTAAAAAATATTATCAAAATCCATTTTTTGTTACTTTTATTATATGTGAGAGTGATCTAAATTAGAAAAATTTGAATTTTGATAATTAACAATCTCACATTATTTATCTGAATTAGTATTATTTAATTACTTATCTTAAGGTATATTAATCATTTAATAATTTTTTAGATTGATGTACTCATTTTAATTTTATTATTCATTTATTTATTATTTCATCCTATCAAATGTTTCATCTTTTAACTTTTCAAATTCATATTTATTTTGTAATCCAAAAAATTCAAGCTTTCTTTTTTTGACTTCTTATTCTTAAATAGGTATTTATTCAATATACTCTTTTTCATTAATTTAATTTTTTCGATTTAAAAAGAAATCCTTAGTTTGCTTTATGATTTCATCATCATTAATCCATGGCTAAATAGCTGGTTATAACCATTTTGATAATCCTTATTTAATGTCTTTTTATTCAAATCTTTTATCACATAGATAAACAATTCTAAAAATAAAAAAAAATATATACCCATAATCATTTATATGTCTAATAACTCTTCCCATAGCCTGATTTGTAGCACGTATAGCTTATTGAATATACCATTCAGAACTTCTTATTCGTTATTAATGTTTGAATTCTGGATCACTGAATAATTTATCCAAATAATTCATTTTTTGTAAAAGATGATTATCTTATTTAGGTGGATATGGAACACCTACTAAGAAGATAGCTCTACATAATTCATCAGAAAAATCTATTCCTTCAGCAACCTTACCTCTATGAACTGCAAACATTATGGCACCTTTTTTAGCTTTTAATTTATATGTATCAAAAACATTTTGCATTTCTGAACTTTATTAAGGTTCCCATAAACATGCTTTAATTTCACTCAATCGAGGTATTAATTTATTGTATGTCCATTTACTTCTAAATTTATTCATAAGACTATAAGATGAAAATATAACTAAAATTCCATTAGGAATAATCTAACATAAACTTAATAAAGTAACACCAAATCTGCAAATTTATTCTTCATTATTTCTTTAATTATATTAAAAATCGAAAATTTTATGTTAAAATACTCTAAGATTTTTATTCAGATCAATTATATGTTCATTACTTAATTAAACATCAAACGGTAATCTTAATTCACAAACCCATGAGGGCATAGGTGAAAGTGTACCAGATGTTAACATAATTGAATAAATATTTTTATTAAATAGCCTGGAAAAAGCTAATGAGGGTTCAAGACACCACATATTGATAGATAATTAATTAGATTAATCAAGAATGAAAGATAATTTATATTAATTAAACTCGTTTTATAAAGAATCTAATGATAATTTTTATTTTTCTCTTTCATCTTCAACTATAATAAGATCATATACATTTTTCATAAATTTAACCCAGGATTCAAAATGATAACCTGGAATTTGAGATAATTCTCCCATAACTTCAATCAAAGTAGAACAATGAATTAAATACTAAGCAAAATTAGTTTTATTAACTCCTTTAGCATAATTAGTTTAAGAATTCTCTGACCATAATTAAAAAGTATTATCTTTATCTTAAGTATTCTCAAATATCATAAATTATATTTGTCTAGCATCTAAAATTAAATATTTATCTTCCTTATCAGTTATTATAAATTGTTGATTATTTTTAAATGATTCTAAATATTAAGCAAATATTTTAATTGTAATCATGATAGATTTAAATTCATTTAAATCTGATGATACTTTAGCTGAATTTAATTTAGTTTTTAATTGATCATAAAATACTGTAACTGATTCAAGTTCATCAATCCATTTCTCAAGATCTTTTACAGCTTCAACAATATGATTATGAGTAATAAGAAATGAAGACCCATCTTCAGCAGTAGATTACACATTATGTGCTTCATCAAATATCAAAATTGAATTCTCTATTTAGACAACATCTAAAAAGTCTTTTTCTAATAAATAATTGTAAGGTAACAAAATAAGATCTGCAAAATCCAATCGTTATCTCTCAAAATAATAAGGACATAATTTATTTTTCTAACCAAATTATTTTGCTTCTTCTAAACTATTTATTAATGTGCTATAACTTTGTGCCATAACAATAAGATGTTCTTTCTTATAAAACTAACATTAATTTGCCTTGACTGATTTTCTGCAACTTTAATTTAACATAGTCCCTTTTAACATATTAAAATCACCTCTTATACAATATTAATCTCTAGATCCAAGCATAGAAATATTAGGTTTATAGATAGTCTTCTTCAATTCCATAGCTACTTATTTTAATTGAGCATGAGTTCTTGATGAATATATAATTTTAATATTCTTAGGCTAATCAGAATTTAATTAATCTTATCTATTCTTCTTTAACCATGCTAATGAAGCACAAAGTAAAGATAAGGTTTTTCCTGTACCTGTTGGTGATTCCAATCTAATCTATATTAATTGTTATAAAATACAATGCATTCTATTTTTTATTTAATGCTTTTATTACACTTTCCATATAAATTTTTTATACTTCATAAGGTTGATGAGGAAAATATACAGGAGTATTATCAAGCATAAGTTATACTTATTTCTTGCAAATATTTGAATCAATTTCAATTTCCTTAATAATAATCCTCTTAGAATATTCAGATTCTTCATCTAACAATTATTGATGTTAAATTTATTTGATTGCAAAGTATTATTGAATTCCGAATGGAGTTTTCATTAGTTTTGCAATTTTTGATATCAAATTTGGTTCCAAAAATAATTTATTATTGAAATAACAATTAGAAATTTAAATTATGAATTAAACTACCCCAAAATCCTCAGGAATCAATTATGCAAGTAAGTGTTTTATATATTAAGAGTTAAGAAAATAAAAATCAAAGGATACTACCATTCCAAAATCAATGAGCAATAATCTAAAGTTTGATATTTAATAGAATCATTAATATGGTATTCTCAAACATAGGAGCACATCACAACACAATATACATGAACATGTTTAATCATAATAACAAATACAATTATTTGAATAATATTTCAATCAATCAAAACATTTACTACCATTCATAGAATTTGTTACTAAATAAATATAATATCATACTTAACCGATTCAAGTATATTTTTCTTTATTAACATAGATAAATGCTAACATTTTCAAAAATGGTCAAAGAAGATGGGATGATGAAAAACGAAGAATTCTAAATGAATTAAATTAATGCAAAGAAGATAATTGTTTATTACAAAGTGAAATTCATGAATTGAAAAGATAAAAGAATACTCTTTCAAAACAATGTGAAAATCTATAAGTAATCATTGTTTAAGAGAGATTGGGCAAATAATAAAAACATCATCATCATTTTTACAAATTTCAAGAATTGACTAAGAATATTCATGTTCCCACATAAGAAACTATCTCATCATTAACTGACGAAAGGGTAACCTTATATTAATATTCGAGTTCGAAAGCAATGAAACATCTTTGGATTCTTCCTTATCAAATGATGATCATCATCATCCTAATTAACTGTTTGAATTATTGAAGACTGGAAAACACAGATACTAGTTTTCTAAGAAACTTAATTGATTATTAATATACATAATCTATATTAAATGTCTAATTTGAAATTATTTTAGCTTACTGCCTATCAGAATGCCATCATAGTATCAAATATACCTATTATTAGATTAAATCAGATTTACCCTATTTAACCACCTAGCTAAAATTTCACAGAGTTTCATCGATTATAGAAGAATCTCCTAAACATTAAGAGTAAGAAGGTAAAATCAAAGGAGATAAAAGATGCTCATATATTTTGGGAGTCTTTAAGACATATAATAAGTCATTCATAGTACTTGTTGAAGAATGTACAAAAGTAGCTACAATCCAGGAATAAATTATTTATCACATTGATTAAGTATCATATGTTGCTATTGAAGTAAAAAACACATTTAATTAGAGGACAATAATCCTAATAACAATAAAGATATTTTAGAAAGCTTAAGCAATTAAAAGAAACTGTTGTAATAAGGATTCTATTTCTCACTCTTTGGTGATATAACCCTTGCTAGACATTTTTAAAAGTATGAAAATAGTTTTGTTTGGAATAATAAGCTACTTAGTTCTCTTAGAGAAAATAAAATCTCCTCTAGTTGGCAATTACCTATGATATAAGGATATGTTGAATAAATTGATTCATATATTGATAAAAAACCAATTACCGTGGTCTTAATTTCCAGAAGAAGTAGATTTATGGGAGGTACTCGTTACTATTCAAGAGGAGTCAATGATGATGGACATGTAGCTAATTTTGTTGAAACAGAATAATTACTTATTTAAGGTTAAATCTTAATAAGTTTTGTTGTTATAAGAGGGTCAGTGCCATTATTTTGGAATTAAGATAGTGTGTCTAATATAAAATTAACTAGATCAAAAGAATTAACATAAGCTGCATTTGTTAAACATTTTAATCTGTTAAGAAGATATGGTAAGATATTTTGCATAAATTTAATGTAAAATAGTAGATAAATAGAGTAATTATTAACAGATAATTTTTATTATCAATTTTAGATGGCTTAATTAGATCATGTTAATTATTAATAACTTGATTTTCATTCATTAGTAAAAAATGGTAAATCTACTGGTGTCAATTCCTATATTTATTAATATGAATAAACTTTGGATAAATATTAATGTTATATTGAAAAAGATAAATAAATGATAACAAAATAAAATGGAGTTTTTAGAATAAATTGTTTGGATTGTTTAGATAGAACTAATTTATTTATGAGTAAACTCTGTCTTTATAGTTTGGATAGATCTTTAAAAATATTAAATCTTTAATTATCAAGTAATCCAGATATTCTTAATTATTTTGATGAAAATAATAAAAAATTATTACATGATCTAATTATTAAATATAAGATAATGTGGGCTAATAATGGAGATATGTTGAGTTTCATATACTCAGGATCAGGTAGTACTGTATCAGAGATGGCAAGAGAAGGAAAGAGAGGATTTATGGGAATGCTTAAAGATGGATATAATAATATTGAGAGATTTTATAATCGTTAATTTGAGGATGATACAAAATAAAATACTATTAATTAATTACTATATGGTTTAACATCCTAAACTCATTTTGATACTTGGATTACATAACAAGAAAAGCACTTTTGTACATAAAGTGAGATTTCTATATTTTTAACAACATGGAATGTTGGTGGCAATAATCCTGTTACAACAAACTTTTCTTAAAATATATTAAATTTTTAAGAACAATCTAATCCTGATATTATTATATTTGGTTTATAAGAGATTGTTGATTTGAATCCATAAAATATAGTCATTATGAGCAATGAAAAAACACTTTAGTTATGGGATTAATTATTTCAATCTAATTTATCTAAAATTGAACCATATACAAAAATTGGAGAATCTGATTTGGTTGGTTTATATATGGCTATATATGTGAAAACATCCTAAATCTCTAGAATAACATAAATTGATACAGATGTGGTTAAAACAGGTTTAGGTGGGACCTTGGGGAATAAGGGAGGTGTTTCAGTGAAATTTAAATTTGATGATTCTCAAGTAAAATATTATCTATATCATTAATTTAGTTAGGATTTACTTGTTGTCATCTTACTTCTGGTAATAAATAATGCCAATAAAGATTATAAGACATTGATGAGATTCATCAAAGAGCATTTTAAAATTCTAAATCTAAAATAAGTTTAAGCAATCTCGATTATTCATTTTTTTTTGGTGACATGAATTTTAGAATAGATTTGCCATATTAAGAAGTTATTGAATAAATTAAGCATTATTAATAGTTAATTGCATAAGATTAGAATTGTCCAAATGCAAAAGCTAAGTTAGCATATTTACTCAATTAAGATTAACTTGGAAAGAATAAAAATAGAAATTAATATCTACAAAACTATTAAGAGGGTAGCATATTCTTTTTGCCAACATATAAATATGATAAAAATTGTCAAATTTATGATACTTCTAAAAAACAAAGAACTCCATCTTGGTGTGATCGTATTTTAGTTAGTTGTAAGGAGGAATTAATTTGTTAATAACGTTTTTATAAAAGAAGTGAATGCTTAGATAGTGATCACAGGCCTGTCTCAAGTTATTATGTTATAGAAATCAAAAAAATTGATAAAGAAAAACTTGATTTAGTAAAAGCATAATATTGTTTGTCAAAAATGTAGAATTTTAAAAATCATTAACCTCATTAGGATGTTCCAAAATAACATTCTGCTATTGTATAATTTTAAAGATAGCAATAACCTTAATAATCAGATGATTATTAAGACTTCTTTAAGGATACTTAAAACTTTTAATCCTAAGGTTAAAATTAAAAAGCATAATCGAATTTAATTAATCCTTTATAATAGTAATAATAATAATAATAATAATAAATGTAATTATAATAACAATAGTAATAATAATAATAATAGTAATAATAATAACAATAGTAATAATAATAATAATAGTAATAATAATAATAATAATAATAATAATAATAATAATAATAATAATAATAATAATAATAATAATAATCGTAATAATAAAGATTGCCTGTTTAATATATGTAATAAAATATATAATAAATTTAATAACCCTTAACTTCACCTTTAGATTTAATCAATATGGATGATAAATAATAATAGTATTATTAATAACCTCAAGTGTTACAATAATATGCTATGTAATAGATGTAATAGCAATAAAGACTAGATCATTCTACATAATAACAATAAAAAGCAAATTAATATCCACAACAACCTGATTTATTATGAAAAAATATATTAGTATGAACATGTAAATTATATCAATCTTCGTAATTTGGTATTTGAATAGGCGATTAAGATTAAATTTATTCGATATTTATCTTTTCAATTTCTTTAAGAATTTCATCTACGTTTTTGACTTTATTATTTTTTGGATAAGTTTATGAATTATAAAAATCAATAATTTACTTTTTCTTTTCTAATTTCAGTTAATTCAAATCTAACATTAATTTACTAAATAACGAAGTTAAATGAGATATTAAACCATTTCCTTTAATATTTGACAAAGATTTTTCATCAAAAGCTTATGATTTTTTTAAGGACATTTAAGCTAATTATGTAATTTCTTCTAATGGCTTAATTTCTCGAACCAAAAAGAAAACCACTAAAATAATGTAAATAAGTGGGGCTGCAATACAAGCTGCTAAATATCTTTCATTAAATTCCTTATCATATGTATAAAATTCTTCCTCTTAGTCTTACAATTATTTTTCTAATAATGTATATGGATATACACTAATATGATAATAAAGATTACATAATAATTATAAAGTTTAATCTAATAATGGATATAGAATGGATAGTATTATTTATAATTCCTTTATAGATTTTATATGGATTTTAGGAATTTCCATCTTATTCTAAATTGAAATCATGAACTTTAAACTAGCCAAAATTGTCAATTAATTATTTTATGATGTTTATTGTAAAATTAGATGTCTCTACACTTTAATAAACAATGCTTCCATCATTGTTTGATATAATAATTGTATAATTTAGCAAATCACTTGTGGCAAATAACATAAATAAATCCTTAAAGTTTTATGGTAATCTTTCAATAAATACATTCCCAATAGTTTCATTAATAGAATTCTTTATTGGATATATGGATCTTTGGACATAGTTTTATAAAACATCATCAAAAACAAATTCTGAAGTTTCTTTATGTAAAAGATCAATATTTTTCCTATAATTTCTAAATTATTGAATATCTGTGACATTAATTCCAGGATATTGTACCATCAAACCATTTTAAAAAATCCAGAAAAATGAACAAGTTAACGTTACATAATTATATTTCATTAAGTAATTAGTACTTAGATAATATTAAAGATCATTGATAGATAAAATTGTTTAATTCAAAAACATATAAGTTGAATAGCTCTAAGTTGCATAATCAATAATTGAAGCATATTGATAAAATTTAGCATATTCATCCAAATTTTACTCCATAGAAATTAGTTGATCTTCATCCCATTAAATTACTCTTTATTAAAAAACTTCATTCATGACTTAAGCAAATTAAATTTCATTCATTAATGTAACTTAACATAATGTAATGAATTATTCAGAAACTTATTGAATTTGTTCTTATTACAATTTAGCAAAATTATTCTTGGACCAATCTTAAATAATATTTTTAAATATATCTTAGCCAAGAAATCTAATACCAAAAAATACTCCAAGTGAGACTGTTGCTATAATTAATTATGTAATAATGACTTGCATTTTAAAAGTCCATTTACTTGAGATTGGAATAAAAAACACATAACCTATTTTTTAGCTGGTTAAAAAATTTCCAAAACCAATATATCCCTTAAGTTTCTCTAAGCATGTTTCTTTGATTTCCTTCTTCTTATGTTCATCTTTTAATAAAGGCTACTGTTCTTAAAATGAAGGATTCTCAGGTTCAATTTTATCATTTTCATTCTCCTCATCCAATTAATTCTCAGATTCATTCGCTTCAGAAGAGGAATCGCTTTGGAATAATTCTTATTCATTTCTTTCTGATAACATAGCTTCATCTTAATTATTTGAAGATAACATTTAATTAAATATATTCACATTAATTTGATAAATTATTATGTTATTCAATAATTCATTTATTCTTAATCATTAATATTTATTTCATTTAAGTTTTTATTCCTTACTAAATTGATAGTCATTTGGATTTTTAGTATCCAAATGAATTAAAAATATTAATTGATTAAAAAATTAATTGCTTATCTAATGTTATTGGAATAATCTTTAAAAAATAAAACAATAATAGAATGAGAACATATTTATAATTCACATAATCTTCAATAATTTTTATACAATCATGCATAAGACATCATAATTTGTTTTATAGTTATAAAATTGTTGATGATTATTATAAAATATTATTTTGATTTCTATTTAAATTTATGAATACCCTCTTAGTTTTTATAAAGAATCTTTATTACAATATTTTTCAATCTTTATCATTCAACAATTAAACTAGATTTTATTATATTTATAATTTAATAGGTGATCAATATGATTATTTATTTTATTCTTCAATAAAATCCTTTTTCAATTTGTTAATGGATTATTAAAGATAAATTCAGTATTTGGAATTGTTTATGATGATATTTATAATCTATTTCTTAGTAATTAATTTAATATATTTAACAATATAAAATCTGGATGACTTAGGTTACCTAAGACCCACGTTAATAATATTTGGGTATCACTACAATTGATTATTTTAAGACAAAGCTTAAGATATAAGTTAAGAGCAAATCTAATAATAGAGACAACTAATCACAATTATAAGTGTTAATGATAAAGATGCCAGAGATATAATTTACTACTTATAGGATCGATAGAGTATTGATTTATCAAAAGTTTCTAATTGGAAAAAATTAAAAAACTTTTTATGGGGTTTACCTAAAGTCTCTAACCCGAATTCATCTTTTCGAATATTTTGGGAATTGATAAGTATGATATTCATATTCATACAAATGATTCAAATACCTTTAGTTTTAACATATTCAGTAGAACTAAGTGAAGGATTTTTAGCTTTTAATTAATTTATGGATGTATTCTTTTATATTGATATGATATTGAATTTTAAATTAGCATATTATCATAGGTATCTTAATTTTGATTCTATAACTATGTTAGAGGGGAAATCATTTTTGATAGAAAACTAATTGCAATCAATTATTTGAAATTATGGTTTTGGTTAGATTTCTTAGCCGTCCTGCCATACGATTAAATGTTTAGTGTAGAAGATTCTCAAACTTAATTATTTAAAATAGTAAGATTGTTCAAATTTATTAAAATAATAAGACTATTAAGAGTTTTAAAAATCAGTAAAATATTGTAAAAACTAGAAGGTAATTTTTATAATAATTATCATTTTAGAATCATTTACATTAGCATAGACCTTTTAAGCAATGATTTAATTTTTAAAGATTGCATGTATGATTTTGAGCATAGCCCATTGGATAGCTTGTATTTGGAATATCATAGAATACACTGATGAGTAAGTTAGTATTACATGGATGTAAAAATATGGAATAGCAGATGCAGATTGGGGAATCAAATATATTTCAGCATTCTATTTTAGTGTAACAACAATGATTACAGTTGGATATGGAGATATCAATGCAAATACTCAAACAGAAATGATATTTGCAGTATTTGCAATGGTTTTGGCTTCAGCTATATTTGGTTACAGTATGTCCAGTTTCATGTAAATTATCGAAGGAGAAGATGAGAAGATTTAAGAATAAAGAATTTAGAATTCTAAGATTGTGAGGTTTCATTTTATATAATCCAAATAGATATATCAGATAAAAAAGTATACCGAAAGAATTGTAGAGTAGAGTTAAAAACTATTTGGAATGGCTAGCTGGTTCTGCATAAATTGCAAGAAATTATGAGTAATATGTATTAAAGAGTTTATCTGCAAATCTTAAAACTGAAATTGTTTGTTTATTGAATGGGAGAATATTACATAAAGTTTAATTATTTAGTAAAGAATTTACTCCATAATTAATTAATAAACTTGTTTATGTTTTAAATGAATAAATCTTGGGACCAGAAGAATATGTTTTTAAAGAGAATTCTTTGGATAATGATAAAGTATATTTTATTCAAAATGGATAAATTAATATTTGTCTAACATAAAGGGAAACCCTAGTTAAAACATTATAAAAAGGAGAATATTTTGGTGAGATTGGTTTCTTTGGTAGAAAACCAAGAAATGCTTCTGCAAAAACTGTAGATTTTGTAAATGTTATGAGTTTAAAAAGATCAGATTTATGGGAAGCTGCTAAACCTCTTGAAAGTGATTTGTTAAAATTATACTTTATGAAAGATTGTTTAGAAGTTGAGAATAATTTTAAACCTTTAAAACTGAGATGTTACATATGTGATAGACCTCATCATATTGCAAGAAATTGCACTGTATTTCATTATAGAGCTAGTAGAAAAAACATAATATTTGAATATTTCAGCCATTAAAATAGCAGAATGAGATTATTTTAAAGAAGGTCTAAACGCTAAAAAATAAACATTAATCTTATTTAAGAATAAATTCAAAAATATTAAATTAACCAAAATCGAAATGAAAAGTAATAAAAAAATATTACTAATAATTACATAGTTGAAGATGTTAAAATTGCTTGTGATATTGATCATTTGAAAGAATACTCTGATTTTTATAATGAATTCAATATTACTAATGTTGCATAAAATATTAACTTTTATGCTAATTTTATTCTTCTATAAATGGAAGAAGAAAAAAAAAAAATAAAAGCATAATTCAGATAAAACTAAAAAAGATTAAAAAACCAAACTTTAGCTCCAAGATAATCAAAAATTACTTTAGGAAATCTTGAAAATCTCATTAACATATAAGATAACTACCTATCTTTGTCATCTAAAAGCTCATTTAATTGCATTGAAAGATCAAAAAGTAAATCAAAAAGGCTCCTCGATTTGTAATCTCAAAAGCAGTAATTAATTAATTTATTTTTTAGTATGACCAGAAGATCTTTTACTAATAGTATTCCAAAATATTTTGAACAATTCTATAAATAACCGTCATTTATCGAAAAGTGTAATTTAACAAAAAATAAACGAATCTCATCTCTAACTAGGTTTGATTCACTTTAAAAGGCTGAACTAAGTATTTTTAGAAAAGAAACTTTTATGAAAAAGTTGATTCCTGAACTTCTGCTTAATTTCAATTTAAAGCAGCCATAATTTTGATATTGACTGATTTTACTATGGTTTTATGCTCTCTTTATATTATATCTTATTGTGAATAATTATTTATAAATAGAAAATTATCTCATCAATTTTTCTTTAAATATTGATTTATTTTAATAAGGATTAAACCGATATTTGAAAAAGTACAATCTTATTGTTTGATATATTTTTATTACTTGATAAAACTTCAACTTTTAGATTTCTTTACTATTTTTAATTAAATGAAAATTTAATTTTTTTTCTTCTAAATTATCCTTTATAATAGTAATTATGTTAATTCTTTATGTATTAAATTAAGATTCGACATCTCAATTGACATTATTCAACCAGTTTTTTCTTTTCCTAATTAATATTACTCTTATCATTGTTTCATTTTCATCTCACAATTTTTGTTGTTTTTAAATTTTATCTAAATGATATTATAAAAATATCTTTTTCTTCTTTATTATGGGATAACAATTATTCTGATAATTCAATTCTTTTTAGTGTGATATGTGTGATATCCTTCATGTTTAATTATTAAGATAAAATTACTAACCATTTTACTACTAAATTTTCTTGGTTTGATAAAGTTTTATTGCGAATCTTAAGTTAAATCAAATATTTAGCCTCTTAATTTTTTATAGTTTTTAATTATTTTGATTTTTCATTGTTTTATTTATTTACTCAACCAAAATTTATTAAGGTAAAATAGCAATTAAATATCTTAAATAATAATTGATTCTTGCTTTTAACTACTAAAGAGGATTCTTTTCAATTAGAAAATAAAATACAATTAATATTATGGGATTTAGTCTTTCAAGTTTTCCTTTATTATTTCATTTTGATGAATTAATAGTTCAATTAATTTTTTTAAAAGTTTCAATATTGAAAGCACTCTCATACTTAATTTAGAGAAAAATGTGAAAATTCATACATCTTAGAGAAATTACTTAAATAATCTTTGCACTTTTTTGATTTTTCTTTCACTCAAAAGAATTTGCCATATCAATTATTTATTTTCTTTACACATTCTGTCATTTATTTTTAAAATCTCTTTTATTTCTAATTAGTTTATTCAATTGCTTTTTTATCTAAAGTATTAAATTAAATAATTATTGAATTTTGTTAAATTGGATATTGAAATTTTATCTTATATTAAGGTCAAAGTTTGACTTAATATAAATAAATTAAGATACAATCTGTTCATTAGGCTACCTAAAATTCAAAGGTGATGAAGTTTACAAATAAAAACACTTAATTAATACATGAACTATTTCAAATATTGTAATTAGAACTTTCGAAATCAGTTTAGATCAAATCAGGACCATTTTTTACTTTAACTTATAATAGGTTAACAATAAAATTTTCTTCAAAGATTGATCTCAATAGTTTATGTAGAGGAATTAGTTGAATCTACAGATAAATTTGATGAATAACAAACAATATTTTTATTTAAAATAACATTTTTTAATGTAAAATAAAAAAAAAATACTTTGCTTACATGGAAATGGTGCAAACAAAGAATTTCACTCTTATTAATTAAGATAATTTGAGAAAGAATTTAACGACATTGAGTTTGTCACTATAGACGGTCCAATTTCAATAACAAGAAATGTTCATGCTTCATAAGTAGTAATACCGTAGAATTTTGCTAAAATGATTGAAAATAAACCATTATTTACATGGGGGAACTTTTTCAAATTAGATAACAACAATATCGATGCAGGTATGATAGCATAAGTTTATCTTTAGTTTTTTAGGAATCATTAGATTACGTAATTAAAATACTTAAAGAATAAGGCCCATTTTATGGAGTACTAGGATTTTCTTAAGGATCTGCAGTAGCAGCTAGGTTGGCTACATTAATAGAAGATAAATAAATTGATCTAGGCTATGAAATAAATTGTTTTATTTTTTCTTCAGGATCGATGATGACTTTGCCAAATAAACGATTGATTTTCTGCTAAATTCCCTCTATACATTTTATTGGAATTAATGATTTTTTATATGATAGGTATAAAGAAGATATTATATTTAAGATCTTTAGGATTATCAACTCAATTTTTAAATCCTTTAGTTATTCTTCATGATCAAGGGCACAAAGTTCCATTTTTAAGTAGGCAACAAATACAATTATTAAAACAATTTTTTAATAAAGGAAAAAATGGTTGGCTATAACAAATATTTGTTCCAAAATTATGATTAATTTTAGAATTTTATATTGCTTGTAATGTATTGTAAATATTCATTTGTAATGGTTTGTCCATGCAAATCTTTGAGTTGATTCATCAACTGTTCCTTATTTGATTCTCATAGAAAAAACATGCTTAGGTTTGCCAGTTATGTAGATTTTTGCTTATTATTTAGAATTTATATAAGCATTTGGTAACCAGTCAATATTCTAAAATACTATGATAATTTACATCAAATATAGCAGGTTTTAATGGTATTTCAAGATATTAATTATGATAATATAAAACAGGTGTTTAGTATTAAAAAAATAAATCAAATAGCTATGATTATGATTAATAAATACAGAAATATATTTTTAGGCTTTGACCAAATTTTCTACATTAATAGGTTTTCTTCTAATTTGGAAGTACACATAACCATAAAATCTAAAGAAGATGCCTGGTGGTGTATATGTTCCAGTTTTTTCGATTTCTGATAGTACATCATTTACATTTACAAAAATACTTTGCAAAATTCTTTGAATATTAATAAATAGGAGTACTTTTCAGCTTCAAAAGCATGTGTGAGTCTCTCATTTATCAATGCTCTTTTAATTGGATGTTTATTTATTTCATTCTCATCCTTCATAATCATTTCCTCTTCTGGCTTCTCCCATTCTTCAGGATCAACTTCAAACCATTTCAAGTCTCCATATATTGTATAATCAGCCTATAATTAGGATAATTGTATATAAATACAAGCATTTTCTCACTAGTTGGATCCCCTCTATATCTGAGCATTCTATCATTTACATCTGAAAACATGGTTATGATTTCTTCCTTTTTTTGCTCTTCATTTTCAATTGATTTTTATCTCAAATTATCAATAGTTTCATTTGATATATGAGTCTGTTTAGTTTTTGCCTCTAACTTTTTTTATTATTAGGAATTTTAATAGGCAACATATCCACCAGTACCTAAACCTACTATACCAAAAAATGCAGCAAAAATTTTGGCAAGCTCAGTGTTTGAAGAACCTTGTTAAGGGGCCTAACTAAAATAGCTTCTGGATGTTTTATTCAGTGATTTTGAGAGTACTAATATTATTCAATCACATTGTTAATACCTGATTAACTTACATTAGACATTCTTCCATAAGACATTAACCTTTGGATCATTTTATTAAGACTTAAATTATCACAATTAAAAAAAATATTAATGATAAGATTTTGAAGGCTTTATAAGATTTATATGCCAAAAATTACAATTTTATTTTATTATAACAAAATTTTATTTTTTAATATTATCTATAATGATTATAGTAATTAGTTAATAATTTCTATAATTATCAAAAGCACTTATTGAAAAAACAAAATCCACCACTTTTTTCCTTCTTATCACTCTCTTTGATTTGTTTCTAAGTAGAAAAATAAGAATATTGTAATTACTTTTCCTTTATTTAATCCATTAGTATATGATACTCTAGACTTGATTGATATATCTTATTACTCTTATTATGAGCACATTGTGGTTGTGACCGATGTTTAAGGTTATTATTAATTATCAGAAATTTACAGATTATTTTTACACACTAAAGTAAATGTTTGACTTCCAGTTTCAAACAAGATTTATTCATAATCCAAACCTAAGCGACAAAAATATATAGCTAATACTTGGCAAATCATCTTTGGGTTGCCCAGATTTTTTTGAAATTTTTAAGACGTAATCACTTCCCTTTTTCGCTTTGAAGTTTACTCCTAAAGATTATTATTGTTTAAAATTACCTAATTCCTTTTAGAATTGATGCAGAGTGAATGTTATAGCGTCTTCAACAGTAAAAATGTTGGGTAATTCACAAATAATTTATACATACTTTTCGTTTTACATTGTAAAAAATGCATATTTTTTATTATATAGCATCTATTATTCCTAAGCTTTCGATTTGAAAATTACTTATTGCATTTAGGGATCATTTTTTGTGAGCTTCATATTATTTAAATGATCTAATTTAGATATTTAATTACTTATATTTTGTATATAAATATTTAATTCATATCACAAGTGTAGAAATATTTAATATTAATTATATTATCTATTTCAGTTTCATGGCTGATTAATCAAAACAACTTTAATGGACAGGTCGTAAGATTATTACGTCAGATAATGTTACTAAAGGTATATATGATGTCCTATAAAACATCAGGCATTGTGAAGAAATTAAATGAGAAAACAGGATAATATGAGACCATGAAGGTTGAAATCCCCAAATTAACAATAGCCTAGCAAATCGAAAACACAAAGATGGAAATTAATTAAGGTATATCATTTTATTTAAAATTAAAGCAAATGAGATCTCAAAAAAATTATATTAATAATTCAATACATTAAAAGAATAAGTTACAAGTTTAAGGCAACTTGTAGATGAGAAAGCAAAATAATATAAAAAGGAATAAGAAGAAAGAGAAAAAAATTTAAGAAAAATGATAAAATCAAAAGATTTAGAAATTAATATCGCTTAAATGAATGAAGAATAAATTAGAGATAGACTAAATGAACTTGAATAAGAACTTAAGAGTTCTACAAAGTTTAATGAAATCTTGGCAAAAGAGCGAGAAGTAGCTAAAAAAGAGAATGAAGCTATTGAAATGACAAAAAATATTGAATTGTTACAGAATAAATTAGAAGATAAGAAAAAAGAATTAAAATAAATTAAAAAAGAAAATATATAGTATTAACGATAAACTCAAGCCAATTAGAAAAAACTTGAGAAAATTGAAAAAGGAACAGATGAAGCTGCTTAGATTAATTAATTGAATAAAGAACTTTGTATACTAAGAGAAAAAGAAAATAAAATAAACGATAAAAAAAATAAGTTTTAAAAAAATATTGATGTAATATAATAATCCATCGAATTTTATTAAGAAAAAATATAAGAATTAAATGATGATAAAGTTAAGGATTTAAAAGAGCTTTATTAACAAGCAAAAAAAAAATGGGAAGAAAAGGATGAATAGTTAGATAATGAAAAAAAGAAATCAAATAAGGATCTTGTTAAGGAAATAAAAGAAAAAAAAGAACAAATAGAAAAGGAGAAGGCTAAGAAAAAAGAAAAAGTTGATGAAGAAGATAAGCCAAATAAATTTAAGAGAATTAGTGATTACATCAAAGAAAAAAAAGATGTTAGCAGCCTAAAGGCGGATGAACAAAATTTCATTTAATTATTCTAATTCAAAGCTGATCTCACGAAATAAAAATAAAAAAAATAAAAAAAGAATGAACAGGAGAAAGAATAATTAGAAAGTTCAATAAATAATTTAAAACTAGAAAGAGTGAACATATAGAATGCTATAAAAGAAAGAGAAAGGGAAAGAGAAATGGCAGAAACTAAAGAAGTTGAGGAAAAGGAAAAATTAGAATTATTAAAAGAAAAGAAAAGAATGGAACTTGAAAAAAAGGAGAAAGAAAAATTGGAAAAACTTAAGAGTAATTAACGATCTTAATTATCACCCCTTAGAGCAAAGCAATAAAAAGATGCAATCACAAAAGAAAAATTGATAAAAGAAAAAGAAGAGTAATTAAAATAGTTTAAAGAAAAATATTCAAAGTTACCAAAAGAAAAACAATAGTAATTTTTGCAAGAACCATTTAAACTTTCTTATCAAACATTAGAAGAGAAAAGGAGGAGATAAAAGGAAAAGCAAAATGATAAAGAGGACAAAGATAAAGTAGAAGTTAAAGCATTGAGTATTATTGAAACTGTTTGCAGAACCAAGCATAGAGGATCTAAAAGAGACTGGTTTGGATATGAGCCTAATGAATAAACAGTCTAATGTGATGATGTTCACATTTTAGGATAGTTTTCTATTAATCATAGAATTAAGAAAATAACTATATATCATAATCCAACTGAAGGTTTAATTTATTTATTGTGGACAGAATACAGAAAGGAGGATGGTACTCTCATAAGTGGAACGTGGAATGTAAATATGTTAATATATCTTTAGATCAATTAAGAATTATTAGAAAAAAACAAGGATATAAAGAGAGATGAATTAGATTTACAAGATAAAGATAAAATTAAATAAATAATTATTCGAAGAGATAATAATTTTGTATCATTTATATAATTTAATACTAAATAAGGATAGTAGTTCAAAGTAGGAAAGGAAGTGATGTAAATATATTGAACTAATTTTAAGTGAAAAATAGGAAGAAGAGAAACCAAAAGAGAAAAGTGATGAATAACAAGATAAGAAAGATGGTGAAGGATAAGAAAAAAAGGAAGATCCTGATAAAAGAGATCTTAAGATTGATAATTTTTCTGTTCTCTTTACTTTATTTAGTGGTTATTCTTAGAGAAATGAGAAAGAATTAGCTATGAGCTATTTTGGTTACGAAATAGGAAGAAAATTAACAGCCGAAGAATACAGCTAGTATTTAGAGGAAAAACAAAAAAGATTAGAGGAAAAAGAGAAAAAAAATAAATTAAAGAAATTAGAAGAGAGTATGGCCAGTGATTTGAATAGGAGCTAAATCAGAAAGAAATGAAAATCATTATAATATTAGAATATATAAATAATATCATAATATATATATATATTTATATATATAAATTGATGCAAATTTGAAATGGAAATTAAATCTTTTTTATTAAATATAGAGAAAAATGGCAAATTAAGTTGAATTCAAATAGCTCGGTTTCTTGAGAGGTCACGGTGATTGGGTTACCAGTATCATTACCAATTAAGACCCAACTTTGGCTGATTTAGTCATCTCAGGTTCAAGAGACAAATCCATTCTTGTTTGGAAATTATTCAAATAACCAGATGGTGATTTGGCTGGTCAACCAAGAAAACAATTGAAAGGACACTCCCATTTTGTAAGTGATTTAGTGTTATCCAACGATAATAAATATTTATTATCAGCCTCATGGGACAAAGAATTGAGATTCTGGGATTTGCTTAATGGTACTTGCACAAACAGATTTGTTGGAAATAAAAAGGAAATCTTCACATGTGCTATGAGTCCAGACAATAGATAAATTCTTTGTGGTGGAGCTGAAAGAAGATACAAATTGTACAATGTTAAGGCTGAAGAGAAGTTAACCTAAATGAATCATTTTCACTCTGATTGGATCAGCTCTGTCAGATACTCACCAATCATCAAAAATATCTAACCATATTTTGTTACAGTTGGTTGGGACGGTTGGCTTAAGGTCTGGAATTAAAATTTCACAATCAGATTTTAATTCAAGGCTCATGATTCCTAAATCAACAGTGTTGCAATCAACCCATCTGGTGAATACATTGCAACAGGAGGTAAGGACAAGAAATTGTACATTTGGAACATCACAGATTTGAAGAAACCAGCCTTTGAATATGATGCTGGAGGTATCATTAATTAAGTAAAAAAATTTATAAAATTATTAGCTTGCTTTCCATCCATAATAAAATTGGATCGTAGCCGCCACAGAAAATGGAATTAAAGTTTGGTAAATTTCATAAGAAGAAAAAGCTGAAACCAAAACACCAATTGTCACATTAGATCACCACACTGAAAGTATTTTATTTTAATTAAATCATCTAGCTGCTGTTGCTGGAGGAGTGAAGAAGATTTAAAAGCACGGAGCTGTTTCTGTTGCTCTTGATGCCAATGGTGCTAAACTTTATGGAGGATTCACTGATGGATCAATCTTAGTTTGGGAAGTTTCAACCAAGAATTGAAAAAATAATGTACATTACATAAATTCCAATAATCATACACTATAGGCATAACAGTGAAAAAAGTTAATAGCTTTTTTAATACGACTGCCTATTAAATTAGGAGGAAGGTGTGCTTAGTGAAATGAATATTGGAATTTCAAATACAATATAAAATCAATTAATAAGATTTTTCTTTTTGATTAAAATTTTGAACTTTTTTTATTCAATTAAATTGAGAGAGCAATTAAATACTTGTGTAATTCAACACAAAATAGAGGATGGGTCTTCAACACTAAATCTCAATTAGTTCAGATTATTTTATAATTTGTAAATGTAATTATATCTCTAAATATATGAAAAATATCTCAGATTTCATGTCGTAATTTTGATTAATCAAATTTAAGTCTCGGTGCAATATTCATTGAAATTAATTCCTAAATTAATGTCTTAGCTGCATATGGCATTAAGACTTAATAAATTTAATTTTGTTGGTTAGTATTCTTACATATATTACAATAAAACTCTTAATTCTCTAAATTAGCAACTGCAAATAAACCACATTTAGAACAAACATGAACTCTAAATGCGTCTGATACATCATAAGTTCTCTCTTTTAAAAATTTAGCAGTTCCTAAACGATTATATAAATAACATACCATGTGAAATGATGCAATCTCTTTCCATCTCACCAAATCTCAAACCTCCCTTTCTACTTCTTCCATGAGTAGGTTGTCTTGTAATGCCTGTGACAGGTCCTCTTGAACGAGCATACATCTTGTCATCTACTAAATGTCTCAATCTTTAATAATAAGTTGGGCCAACAAATATTGGAATTTAAAACATATTGCCAGAATAAGGGTTTGTCATCACTTCATTTCCCCATTTTTACCATCCAACTTTATGCAATTCATTTGCGATATCATTAACTGAAATCTAAGCAAATGGAGTAGCATCATTAAATTGCCCTTTGATTGAAGCTAATTTGGAAGATAAACATTCAATTAAATGCCCTAATAATATGGAAAATTATAATTATACCAATAGTCATTCTTGACGGAATACAGTGTGGGTTAATTGTTAAATCAGGAGATATTCCATGAAGAGTGAATGGTAAATCTTCTTATCGATATGTCATTCCACAAGTTCCTTTTTATCCATGTCTACTGCAAAACTTATCTCCAATTTATGGGATTCTCAATGATCTTACTTTTACCTTTACTAACTTATATCCTTTTTAATTTTCACTAATTAGAACTGAGTCTACTACACCTCTTTCAGCTCTTCTTGTTAATAGTGAGCATTCCTTGGTATTCTTCTAACCATTAGCTGTATTCAACATAATATTATCAATAATCAATTCTTTTCCAATTATGGGCTCTTCCTCATCCACTTTAGTTCCAGGAGGTACAATTCCATCACTATCCAATTTAATAAAAAGTTTGCCAGCATAATTGTCTCCAACTGGTTTTGTAATTTTAGTTTCTGTAAAATTATCAGGATCTTTGTCCTCAGATTCTTTATAAGTCCTATAAAAGACTGATCTAAAGAATCCTCTATCTATGGCATATTAATTTATAATAATAGAATCTTCTTAATTGTATCCTGTAAAACATGCTATTGATGTTACACAATTAATTCCTATAGGAACCTCATTTACTGTTATGAAATCAACAGCCTTAGAAGATGCTAATGGTTTCTGAGGATAATGCAGAATATGAACAAGAGTGTCAAATCGGATATTAAAATTAGTTGAATTTAAACCCATTGCTTATTTACCCATAGCACTTTATAATGTATTTCTAGGTCCTTGATTATGATTGGCAAATGGAATAACAGAAGCACAAACTCCAAACATCATACATGGGTGAATTTCACAGTGGGTGTATCTCTTAAAATTTTAAGTTCCTCTTGTCATTATATTAAGATCCATTGCAATTAATGATCCTTCCTCTTCCTCAACATCCAATAATTCTACGCATTTATTTTACAATAATTATTCCCAATCTGTAAATTAGTTCAGTTAACTTTTCTTTAATTTTAATTAGTTATCCTGAACTATAAACAATGGCCTCATGCATCTTCCAGCATCTGTGTAAATTCTGATTTCTTTATTCACATAATCAAAATTGATTGATACTTCAATTGGTATAAAACTTTCTTCAGCTGATCTTAAATTTTTAAATTCTTGGATAAATTATTCTGGATTTCTCGTAAACCCAATCCAATTACCATCTACCAATACTTTAGTCATTTTAGGAATATCTTAAGCTTAAAAATCTCCTTACAATAATTAAAAATCAAAAACATCTTATTTTAAAACCATTATTAATTTCAATAAAGTTTCTTTGTCTTTTTACTATAAATCATTTGAAACAGCTGTCATTAATGACAAATTTTTGACAATACCAATTTTTTATCCTTCTGGAGTTTCTGCTGGACATATAAAACCAAAATGTGTATTATGTAGTTATCTTGGTTTACTCAATTTCATTTGTGGGTTAATTGGAGCATTCATTCTTCTTAAATGGCTTAGGGTTGCAAATAATGATGTTTCTCTTTTTAAAGTCTATGCTACTCCTGTTTTCACTACCTATCCTTCTTTGCTTCTACCCCAATTACCGGTGGCTAAAGCATTATCAATATCTTTTGATATTTGTTCTCCATCAAAAAATGATTTAATATCATCTGGTTATCTCATATTCTCAATTCTGGTTTGTTAACCTTTGCCTCTTCTGCCTCCATTAATATACTTTTCAAGTGCTTTTTTAGCATTTTATTTGAATGATTCAAAAGATGTTTTAAAAACACCCATCATCATAGCTCCAGCCATATCTAATCTCTTTTTACCATAATGATCTCTATCATCTTGATCTGTTTTTCCTAAGGAGGCATTCAATAATCTATGCACTATGTATCCAATAAAATACGCCTTTCTATCCCTACTCTCTGAAGACACTCCAATATGAGGTAAAATATTTTTATTAATTAATTTCTTAGCTTCTTGTATTAATGTTTCTGGATCTTGATTTTCAGCCTTCTTTATTTTATTACCTATCCATCTAAGGCAAAGTTCTTCGTCTTCATATTCACCTCCCTCTTGTAATGATCCATATAACATTTCCAACATAGGTCCCATCTACTCATCTTCTAAATTGTACACTATTCTTTCTAAGATTTCCTAATCGCTACTGATCCCTAAGGCTCTAAAAAGAGTGAACAAAGGAATTCCCTAGGTGGAATTAAATTATTTCACACTGCATCTTATAACCGGAGTATTTTGTATGTATCTAAGTTCGACCTTAAAGTTATTTGGATTTGACCATAAATCTGGTTGAGATCTTATTTCTGCCACCCATGGCTTATTTGCTATTTTACTTTTAAACACCAAAACAACATTGTTCGCTATTCTCTCTTAAGCCACTATGACCTTCTCTGATCCTCTTAGAATAAAGTATCCTCCTTAATCAAATCCACACTCACCACTTTAAATTCTTTATTAAATTTATTCTGGATCTTTTGGATCTTTAGGCAAAGAACAAAATCGACTTCGAACCATTATTGGGAGTTTAAAAAATGGCAATCCTTTGAATGTTTATTTGCTTTTCTCTTCTATTGAACCATCACGTTTATTTCTCTACTACATAGTAACTTCCAAGTCAATTTTTAGTTATCTTGAATATGTCAAATCTCTTAATCTTGCAATCATTGGAAATATTTCCTCCTCAAATTTATCAATATGGATATTCTTCTTCCCCATAAAGCATCTAACTATCTAAAATTAATATAGATATTCAGTTTATGCTTTTAAAATAATTAAATTTATTACCATCCATTCTTTCTTCTTCTTTATACTAGGGTTTCACTCTAACAACAAAAGTCCCTTCGTGACCTCTAACGTACTTTATGATATTTTCTACAAAACTTTCATACGAATTTATTTGTTAAGACACTAATCCGTGAGTTTAAAAAAACATATGAAGTACTTTCCAAATATCATCATTGTCTAATTTTTAATTTTCATCTTCATCTTCTTCTTAGATTGAGTCGTCAGAAAACAGTCTTGGATCTTCTTCCTCAACTTAAGACATTTGAGGTAATTTTTTAGTTAAAAATTTATATAAATAAATAAGGTATAGTATTAAAATATAAATATCATTTTTTAGAGTTACCCAAAAGTTGGTTTCAAAGCTGAATATAAATTTAAGTTGTCTAAATTGGATTTTCAGTTGTTTAGTTACAAAAAATAGGTATATTATTTATGTTCATTTTAGAAATTAATTCTTTTGTTTATTTAATAACAAATGAGGTTTTTATCAAAAAAGGATGAATTCTTTATACACTGAGCTTAGTGAAAATTTGTAAATAATTATTTAAGAGCTATTTACATATAGAAAGATTTGTAAATAAGCATTAATTCTAAAGAGCCACGCATTAGATATGTTTTGAGAAGAATTTTATTATGATCACCAACAGCTATTCCTCCCCCTTGATTTGCATTCACTTATTGTAAATTATTATGATAAGAGCCTGAGGGGGGAATTTACCCTTTCTCTGGGAGTCCCATAAAACCATAGAATTTTAGCACTTTGTAATTTAGTACTCTCTAAAATTTAGTTGCTAGTGGAAGAGAAGTTCCAAGTGAGAATCATCATTTCTGTGGTAGTTGATGATTTTATATTTTATTTGCACATGCCAACTATTATGTTTTGCTATTTGTGTTCCTTGAATAAGCAAAAGCCTGACAGTATGGTTTTGCAAATGTTAAATGCTCCTAGGTTTTATTTAAGCAAGGAATGCATTTTCGTTCTATGTTATTTCAATCCTCTTTTGCCTTCAAATTCAACCTTGCAACTGTCACACATTTTTCCTCTGCTATCTTTAGTTAAACATTTTATTTTTATCTACCATTTTCAATTGAAACGATCTTTTTCATTTCTCCCTATCTGAGTTTATTTAAATCATCCTATTTGTGATTTATTAATTAAAGTCAATTCATTATTGAGAAATATCACTTTGTTCTTACCTCAATAATATTGAGTTTCTACCTATTTCTTTTTATCTCATACCATTTTGGATAATCTATTTTATGATTCTTTTTTCTAAATAAGTTATATCGATTTATTTTTAATCTTCCCATAATAATTAATTTACTTTCCATTCTTAATTAGGTCAGAAAAATGATAATTTAATTCTTTTATTTAGTTAGATTAGAAGAATGTTATAGTTGTATCTCTGCTTCCTTGAATATTAATTCTTTGTCTTTTTAATTTAAATAAGTCTACAGTTCTGAATATGAATATTTATAAGTTTATACAATCTTCTTTAGTTTTATGAATATCACATAGCTATTAATAATTTTTTAGTTAAATCTCATCTTCTAATCTATGTTATTATTTTTAGGCAGGACAAGGATAAGTTGGTGTTTTAAGCAAATCCCTGTCTTAGCAGAAAATTGGTAAGAATCTTATTTCTGTATCTTTATTCGGTAACTTATGAAATATTTTATTGTAAAGTGATTGAATTGAATTAAAATTAATAAATTCATTTTCTCTGTTATTAATGTCCACCCGAAAAATCTCTATGTTAAAAAGATTAAAGCTGCAAAATATGAGGCAGAAAGTAAAAAAATTATTCATTTTAACTAAATTAAAGACTCTAAATATGTTAATAATCATCCAGAACATCTACTTTCAAGCATCGATATATTAAAAATATTTTTTATAGATTTTTATTATTTGTACNGCTATTTACATATAGAAAGATTTGTAAATAAGCATTAATTCTAAAGAGCCACGCATTAGATATGTTTTGAGAAGAATTTTATTATGATCACCAACAGCTATTCCTCCCCCTTGATTTGCATTCACTTATTGTAAATTATTATGATAAGAGCCTGAGGGGGGAATTTACCCTTTCTCTGGGAGTCCCATAAAACCATAGAATTTTAGCACTTTGTAATTTAGTACTCTCTAAAATTTAGTTGCTAGTGGAAGAGAAGTTCCAAGTGAGAATCATCATTTCTGTGGTAGTTGATGATTTTATATTTTATTTGCACATGCCAACTATTATGTTTTGCTATTTGTGTTCCTTGAATAAGCAAAAGCCTGACAGTATGGTTTTGCAAATGTTAAATGCTCCTAGGTTTTATTTAAGCAAGGAATGCATTTTCGTTCTATGTTATTTCAATCCTCTTTTGCCTTCAAATTCAACCTTGCAACTGTCACACATTTTTCCTCTGCTATCTTTAGTTAAACATTTTATTTTTATCTACCATTTTCAATTGAAACGATCTTTTTCATTTCTCCCTATCTGAGTTTATTTAAATCATCCTATTTGTGATTTATTAATTAAAGTCAATTCATTATTGAGAAATATCACTTTGTTCTTACCTCAATAATATTGAGTTTCTACCTATTTCTTTTTATCTCATACCATTTTGGATAATCTATTTTATGATTCTTTTTTCTAAATAAGTTATATCGATTTATTTTTAATCTTCCCATAATAATTAATTTACTTTCCATTCTTAATTAGGTCAGAAAAATGATAATTTAATTCTTTTATTTAGTTAGATTAGAAGAATGTTATAGTTGTATCTCTGCTTCCTTGAATATTAATTCTTTGTCTTTTTAATTTAAATAAGTCTACAGTTCTGAATATGAATATTTATAAGTTTATACAATCTTCTTTAGTTTTATGAATATCACATAGCTATTAATAATTTTTTAGTTAAATCTCATCTTCTAATCTATGTTATTATTTTTAGGCAGGACAAGGATAAGTTGGTGTTTTAAGCAAATCCCTGTCTTAGCAGAAAATTGGTAAGAATCTTATTTCTGTATCTTTATTCGGTAACTTATGAAATATTTTATTGTAAAGTGATTGAATTGAATTAAAATTAATAAATTCATTTTCTCTGTTATTAATGTCCACCCGAAAAATCTCTATGTTAAAAAGATTAAAGCTGCAAAATATGAGGCAGAAAGTAAAAAAATTATTCATTTTAACTAAATTAAAGACTCTAAATATGTTAATAATCATCCAGAACATCTACTTTCAAGCATCGATATATTAAAAATATTTTTTATAGATTTTTATTATTTGTACGAAAGTTTATTATAAACCAAGAGACTTTATTTAAGTATTTTATATACTCTAATAATTTTCAAGGGCTAAAAAATAATCTTAATAATATGCAAGCCAAAAATAGGTCCAAAAATTGTGCAAGATCAGCTTCTAACTTTTCCTAATCATAGAAATTTCAGAAGTTATATTCAACTTGATTATTAATCTTGAACTGAAAGCTACAACAAAAAATTTTATCCATAATATCAAATTAGCATTAACAAAACACAAGTTAATAGCCTCAAGCTTTTTTATGACTTTGCTTGTCTATTAGAGTTGAAATTTTCTCAAGTATAATTTTGAAATATTTTTCATGAAATAAAGGCAATTTTAAATTAAATTCCTTCTATAAAGTTCAAGAGCTTTAAGATATGCTTCCTCCTGTTGCTCTCTTTCTTCCCTCAAAATTCTCATAACTTTTTTTAACAAACAAGCTATATAGCTAGTTGTATGCTCCTAAATCTTTATTATTGCTCTTTTCATTGATAAATCTCCTTCGTTATATCTTGGTTCTTCTATTTATTTTTGTTGATGAAAAAATCGTTTTAAATATGTAAGAATTATTGTTACTTTTTAATGACTTATTCAATATAACAATTTAATTACTATTGATAAACTCTTTTGCTTGTGTAAAGCTCAACCTTCAAAATTACAGGCATCATAGATGAAAATTGTGATAAGAGGAATTAAAAAATTAAGAACAGACATTTATCAAATAATAATATAATAGAGTTTTAAAAAAGAAAGTGAACTAGAGGACCAGCATTTCTTACGTCTTTAAATTTATTTAGTGTCAAAACAGGATAATAAAAAGCCAAATTAGATGGTCATACTAGTTGGGTCTACTCAGTCTGTTTCTCTCCTGATGGAAATACATTAGCTTCTGGTAGTTATGATAATTCTATCCGTCTATGGGATGCCAAAACAGGATAATAAAAAGCCAAATTAGATGGTCATAGTAGTTGGGTCTTTTCAGTCTGTTTCTCTCCTGATGGAAATACATTAGCTTCTGGTAGT